AACTCAAGCATATTTGTTACAGCTGGCCTTCTGCTGCCCAGATTTTTCTTTCAAACCTTCATTCTTGATGTCTTGGGACTGTCGGAACAATTTGCTTCTCTTCTGAAATCCTCATCATGTGAGAGTCACTACTTATGTAAGTTTTGTCTCCACCTTGGGGACAGTAGGCTTTAGCAAAGCAATAGTTGTTTGGGAAAGGAGAAGATGCTCTCTGGGCCCCTCTTTGCAGTAGAGCCTGCTGGGAAAGAAATTCTGTTGTTAACTAGGCTTTGACCTGGGTTTGGTCAGGCAAGATGATTGGGAAGAGGGCTATGTGCCCAGTTCTTTTTGCTGCCATCAAAAGCAAGCACCAATGGTTTTGGGACTTGGTTTCTCTCTCCAGCTTAACTTTTGGACAACTGACAAGAAAAAGAGTATTGGCATTTGTAGACGTGGCATGGCAGGGCCAACACATGGAAAATATGAATTAAGCACACACTACATTTGGAGCCCTTAAATTTCCCTTTTGTGCTGCACACTTACTACTGCTCATTATCCTTATTTGTTCTCTACAGCGTCCTCCATTCTCACAAGAGCCTCACAATCGTCTTCATAAGGAAGAGAATATATTCATTCGTCATACACATGACATAACAGAGACTTAGAGAAGTCACGTGACTTATTCAAACCTTATTGAAGGTGATGTGAAAGACCTGGAGCTGGAAGCCAAGGAGAGATATGGACCTGGTTTTTCAATTATGGGTCCTACAGCCAGGTTCATGTTTAGGGGGAAGTGGAAACACAATCCCCTTCCACCTCTGTTTGTTTATTTATTTATGTATTTCCATGAGTCCTTGAGTGCTTAGTACGTGCAAGGCACAGTGGCAGGTGCTGGGAATACAAAGCACTCAGAGAGCCAGGCCTTTCCCATAAACTGGTTGGGGACACACATGAGTAAATAGGGATTTGAGACAGTGGTGAGTACTGAGACTGAGGAAGTCAGGTGCTAATGGAGCACGCAGGAGGAGTACCTGGCCTGGCCTGGAGGTGTTAGGGGAGACTTTTATGCAGTAAGTGACATAAAATTTGAGATCTAAGAGGTATTAACCTGGGAAAGGGTGTTCCAGGAGGAAGGGGAGGGAGCAGCATATGCAAAAGCCTAAAGGCAGAAAGTACTAGAAAAGTTCAGAATGGCTGGAACCTAACAAAAAGAGCTTGGACAGGAAAGCAGGTCCTAGTTCATGGAGAGTCCTACAGGTCATGTTAAGAATTTTGACCTTTAGCCAATGGTGGTGGTGGGGGCGAGAGTTGGTGAAGGGTTTTGCACCTAGGAATGTGGCTTGGTCAGATGGGAGTTTTAAAGAAATCACCTGCAGCATGTGGAGGATGGGGGTGGGGGCTGAACCCAGGGTGAACTTTTTGCTCCAGGAATGGCTCCTTTTGTGAACACATCTACTGAATTCATCTATTGAATTCCTGTGAGTTATGGGTATATTCTCTCCTACCCTCCCTTTTGGAGATTATTATTAAGCTCTGGTCAGAATATAAGACTCGGTGGGACAAAATTCCTTCCTCACAGTTTATGCTTAAGCAGAGAATGAGGGTTCACAGGCAGACAGAAGAGTTTTGTTCTGCCTCACTGGTTTGAGGAAGCTGTATGGTAGGGAAAATTAAATAAGATGTCAACATCGGGTTGGCTTATTCTGGCTGATGGCAAATGCCAGTCCTGCCACACATAAGTTTGGTGGGGAACAGCTGCCTGAGCCTCACTCTCATTTGAAAAACACAGATAATAAAACCTACCTTAGAGTGTCTTTGTGAAGTTTCTATTAATATGTATGAGATGATGTAGTCAAGTCCAGGCATGTAGGAGGTACCCAGTGTCTATTCCTTTTTCTTTTTGTCTGTCCTTCCTTAACACTGGTCCATCTCAGAGAAGAAGCCAGAAATCTTACAGTCTTTACAAAGCCAACACAGTCTGGCCCATTTCCTCTCTGACCTCCTCTCTTCCTGTTTCCCTGGGGCACTCTGGTGTACCAGCACTGACCTCTTTGTTGTTCTTGAATATGTCAGACAACTCCCACCTCAGGACCTTGCATATCTACATGGCTTGTTTCCTCATCTCTGTCACTTTTGGGTTCAGATATCACCTTCTTAATGAGACCTACCCTAACCACTGTCCTTAAAACTCCAACTTCTCCCACGTTATTCTCCTCCTCCCTCCCCAGCTTTGTTTTCTTTCATGGCTCTTGTCACCCCCTAACATGTTATATAATTTAATCATTTAGTATTTAAAAATGTATTTTATTTTTATTTTTTATTATTTAGTTTGATCATTATCTTCTCCCACTGGTATGACAGCTCCACAAAGACAGGTGGTTTCTCTTATTCATTGCTGCATCTCCAGTGCTTAGAATAGTGCTAGGCTCTCAATCAATCTTGTCAAATGAATGAATGAAATGCTCAATGAGCTCCCATGCTAGACGTCATCCGGAATATTGGGAGTTGGACGAGCACCTATACTACAGAGTCTTGGTGCCCTCTGAGGGTTCTCCTTCAAGCTGGTTGGGTACTCTTGGCTACTTAATTAGAAGGAAAGGCTTCCAGCCCTTCATTCTTTTGTCTGTGAAATGAGAACGTTGCCCTCTGCCCAACAGCCTATTTTTAGGGAGAACTTTTAACCCTTAGAAGCTTTTGCACAGAAGCACTGGTTAGCTTTGTAGTTCTACTTGAAGGTGTGAAAACCAACATTTCCCCCTTTAGCAACCCTGCCAGTTACCACTGATGGACAGCTTAAGTTGTTTTCTTCCTGTCCCTCACTCCTTGAACTCAAAAACAATCTCCGATTGAACCAGATGGCAGTGCAAGTCCTCATTGGGAACACGGGTCCCAGAATGTGGTTTAAATCCATTTTTCTGCCAGTCTCTGAGATCTAAGGAAGTTACAATTCATAAAAGAAAGGGAAGAATGGAGATAGGCATCTCCTGGTGATGCTGTATATTTGCATTAGGTCCATTCATTCATTTACTCATTTATTCACATTCAAAGACTCACAGTCAAGTCGAAGAGACTGACAGCAGACAATTACAGCAGCAGAGGTGTGTTATAGAGGAGAACGCTTTAGTATCAGCCAAGTTCCTGCTGCAGAAGTGTTGTATAACAACCCTCAAACCTCAGTGGTCCCAACAACCAAATATTTTATTTCTTGCTTTCTTATCTATAGGTCAGCTGGGGTGCCCTGCTTCAGGTGGGTCAAGCTCAGGTCTGTCCTTATATCTCTCTTTCTGGGATCCACATTGCAGAGACAGTGGATAACTGGGACCAGCTCTTGTCATGGCACATGGCAGGAGCACGAGAGGCAATGTCAAACCACACAAGAACGTTTACAGCCTATGCTTGCATCATGTTTGCTAACATTTCATTGGCCAAAGCAAGTCACAGGCCAACCCCAGCATCAGGAGGGCAGGGACGAATACTCTGCTTACTCCAGGGGGAACATCGAAGTATGGGTCTGTTACAGGGAGGAAGTAAAGAATTAGGAAAAATTGTAGCATTAACTCTGGCCAGGAAAGTTAGGGAAAGCTTCATGTAGGTGGTGACTTTGATCTGTATTGAAGGACGAGGAGTTTTTAGGATAAATAAGCAGTAATATATCCACATTTAAAAAAGATAATGAAATAACATCTTAGTATTTATTTGAGTAGTCACTATGAGCAATATGCAAACAGCTACAGGAAATTAAAACAGAGTTCACCAGTTACCTGTTAAGTCCAAACTTCATGGGAGACTTCAGAAAGAGACATAACACAAAAAAGAAATATATAAGTAAGTATGGTCTTATTCAGCTGGGTGGGACAAAAGTGTGAACCCTGAAAGGAAGTTAGAATATATTTTTAGTAGTTATTTTTTGTACAGGATGCAAGAAATGTGCTGTTGTTTTACATTCACTATTTCACTTAATCCTTACAACCTATGAGGGGCATCCTAATGTCAAATAAGTACAAATGAGAAAACTGAGCCTCAGAGTGGCAGGAAGCTTGCCCGATGGCTTACAGCCAGCAAGTGGCAGACAGAACACTTCTGAGTAGTTTCATTTTGCAAGGAAATTTATTCATAAAATTTCCTCACTAGTGTACACACTCTATTTTATTCTTAAATGGGGCTGCTTTAAAATTTACCAAACACATGGCTTTTAATGTCTACTGTATGTGCAGGACCACGCTTATTAAAAGTGCCCCAACCATGAGTAGATAATCTCTGAAGTCCCGTCCTGGCATTCTTCAGGTCTCACCCCCTTCCTATTATATACGTGTTGAAAATGCCTCAAAGAAAATAGGATTCTTGCCCATGGTGCTACTCAAAAATGCTTGCTTTGGATGGTGGAGTGTTTTGAAATTCTGCTTTTTCCTTTCCCCCAGTTTATATACACATACAAGTAAGTGCTCTTTCCCCTCAGAAATGAAGGGAGACAGGCTTGGTAGGTTCCTCCAGACCCAGCAAAAGTGAGCAGTGGGACTGGATGAAAAGTAACAATTTCCACTATTCTGCAAACTACTTCTACCTGATACTAGTTCTCCTGTTGTTATTGTGCACAGATATAGCACAGAGGAACATCCTTACTTGCAAGGAGGTAAGCATTTAAAATTTTTGGTGTGTAACCCATAATTAGTTGACAACTAGAATCACATCTTCCTGGTCTTACTAACCTTTGGCATGACTTTTTAGCCCAGTGTCTCAGGAGTTTGCAGAGAGAGAACCAGTTCTGTTTTGTAACCATCCTTTTCTCAGGTGAATCGTTAAACATTGACAGGCATTTTTGTGTGCTCTCCATCTTGGCAATCTGGAATTGGGTTGAAGCATGTTGCATGAACCATTTACCATTTGCTCAGGAAGCTGGTTGAACTGGTTTCCCTGATCTCAGAGACCATCTCACATGGTCATTTAAAACTCTCGTAATAATGAAAAATGCTTGTAGGACCTGTCTCTCACTGTGTGGTGTTTGCTGTCTCATGATTCCCCAGGTAGGTGATGCTCTGATGCTGCTGCTTCTCATCAAGTTGACGACAAGGGCAGAGAGAATAAACTGCCTAAGACTGATCCAGAGAGGGAGCATACTGGGGATGCCACAGGAGAAACAAGCGACCTGTCTGACAAGGAATACAGCGTCTTTCTGAAAGCCTCTTCTCAATATCATCCCACGGACCAAGACTCTTCCTGGCAAAGGGCATTTAAGATTCTGCTGTCAGCCACCCAAGACTTTTGCTGAGCCAAAATAAGACTTTTGCTACAGACCTGAACACGATATTATGTCAGTTCATTTTTATATCTTTTAATCTTCCTGGTTGCGGTCTTAGTTGTTTAGCCCTGAAAATTTTAAGCCACATTTATTGCTGTTATTTTTGCATGCACTCTCCAAAATGATCGACTTAAGCTTCCTGACTGAGGAGGAACAAGAGACCATCATGAAGGTTTTGCAGCGGGATGCTGCCCTGAAGAGGGTTGAAGAGGAGAGAGTCAGGTAAGGGGCCAGAGAAGTCCTTGGGGGTGAGAGAAGGAAGAGACAGTTCATAAGAAAAGGGACACTTTGTTTTTTCAACTGTAAGTGGTAGTTCTGATGTGGAGCTTAAACTTGCGGGTTTCAATTTTAGGTTTACTTCCTGGGCAGAACTTTTTCTTCCTTGGTATCTTAATTTATCCCATTGAACTCCTGCCAAAAATAGGGTCTTGAAAAACCTAACTAAATTCCTTTAACTTATTAAACACTGAGTTAAAAATGAAATACATACAAACCCATACATCTACATTGTTGCATGTGTGCATTTATATCCACTATTTTTTTTTACTGAGTCATGAACCAAATTAGAATTTTTTAAAATTTGTAAAAGAAAATTGCAAAGTAGCTCACATTTCTACATACTTTCATAAATGTTGGAATTGGTTTTAAATAGCAAAATTAAAACCACTGAGCCAATTTTTTATTTGACTTGAGTCCCATAAAAAGGATTGGCAACCGACACACTATCCTTGTTGGATGGAACCCAGATGTTCCATGTCAACATTCCTACCACTTTCTCACCTTAGTGGTAGAAAGAGCACTAGACCAGGATCCTGAAAAACTGGACATAGTCCAGGCCCTGCCATTTACTGCCTGTGTAATGTTGGGCTTTGAAGGCAATGAAAGTGTTCCTGAATGTAAGTTAGTCATGGTAATTTTATGATTTCCACCCCAGGAGTTATCCAAAGGAGGCATAAGCTGTATTCTTACTTCCTGGAACACAGGACCATAGATAATGGATTTATTTGTGCCATTTCCCATACTTTGACCCTAATTGAACATGGATGCTTTATTTTTAAAAAATGCTGAAATTCACTTCAAGCACTACATTATGATTATGGCTACTAACAATACCTTGTATTATTAGGCAGTGTTTAACAAGTTGCAAGAGACTTAATATGTGCCCATTATTTCTTATGAAATAAGAAATACGTACCGTTCTGGGGTAGAGTGGAATATAATTACCCCATTTGATGTGTGTGGAAGTTGACTTTGAGACAAGTCAAGTCACTTGTCCAAGCTCACACAACTGGTAGGTGTCAGAAGTGAGAATCAAATCCCTGTCTTCAGGTACTCCTTCACTAACTCCACCTCCTCTCCCTGAGAAAACAATAGCAGACAGGCCATCCTGGGACCTGGCAATGGACACGGGGTTGGCAGTTGTGGTGTGAGGTAGGACACCGAGCTGGGATGATGACAAGTGACGGCTGTAGGTGGTGGGGACCATGCTCTTCCCCACAAGTCACTTGCAGTGCTCCATGCACCTCGGTGGGGGTCTACTGCCCATTCTCAGCATGTGGTGTGCCTTGAGCAGTTTCCCCAGGGGGGCTGGAGGACTGACACCAACTCGGCCATCAGAGCCTCTTGGTAGCATTGCTCCTTTACTCATTCCGTCTATGAAGCCCTTTCATGACTGTTATCCTCTTATGTTCCTCGCAGCAACCCTGAGACTTGGCAAGGTAGGGACTGTTACACCCATTTAGGAATGGGGGAGGGGGCAGCGTACAGAAAATATTGATTCTTCCAGCATAATGGGAAGTACAAATCCCTTTATCTTCTCAGAAGACAAGATGGAGGGACATGAAAAGAAAGCGGTAGAACTGGGACTACCCTGAGTCCCTCTTTCTACCTCAGGATGTGGGCGTGTGTATTGGAGAGGTGTGAGTACCTTTTATTTCTCTGCTCACCAAAGTGTCATTTTTGGCCTGCAGTTCTACCCTCTAGCTAGTCAGGTTACAGGGAAGGAGCCTCCCTCCCTCCTCTCTACATCTTCTTGGCCTCTGGGATTTCACGCTGTGGTCTGTGATTCTGTCTGAGTGAAGTGAAGGTGTTTCTTGGGCATTTGTATTGGTTCTTGAAAATATCCTCAAAAACGCAAAGTTCTGCCTGGAACTGGGCCTTGTAAGAGGTGTGAGCAGGCACCCTCGGGCACCAACCCATCTACAGCTGCAGCATAAATGCCACCTTGAGTCCCTTTGTAGTGGTGATTTTGCAGACTCTCCTCTGTCTGCTGTTTCTAGGGTGCCCCAGCAGCTGCCACTGGAGCTGCCCCTATTTTTGGCTTTTATGAATAAATGATAGGAGGAAGGCTTGAGGTGGTAAAAAAATCCAGTTTGATCAAGCCCAGTCTATTAATACCACCACTTTTCCGGAGGACTTTCTAACTAGGCACCAAACACCTCATGTGGACTTGTCCCTGGGCAGTTCCAAAACCAAGGGCCTAGGAGGCACAAATGTGTGTGTAAATGGGTGTGAGACCCGTGGCTTGTGGACTCCGAAGGAGGCCCAACCCATCGCCTGCTCCATACAAGAAGAGTCTTGCTCTGACCCCTCTTCTGTTTAGGTCTGAAGAGACTTGGGATAGTTCTGAGGCTATTCCCTCCTGGGATAGTGGAACCAGAACTGAGTCTCTGGTCTTTGTGCTACTCGGTGGTCTTTTGCTTATCAGCCCCTTCACCATCCCTCAGTTGTTTGTATTTGGTCTTCTATCAGAGTTACAGCCTGACAGCTCTGGAAAGGAGATTTTTTTTTGGTTCCTATCAGTCACTTTACAGGTATAACTCTTGCATAGCTATAAGGGCATCACTAATGGATTATAACACTACTGCACACAAGACCAGACACTGCTTTAGAATCCTTTTTAATGTGTCTGTAGATGAGATTTGGCATTCAAATGAAAATCCATTTGCCATTCTCAATATATCCAGTGCTTTGAGTTCTTCACATCCAAGTTCATCCAGGACACTTGGGAGGTGATTTAGTTTATATGTTGTTCCCTCCCATCTTGATTTCATTGATGAGAAAAATGAGTGTCATATAAGAGAGGTGTCCAGTTCCTAAATCACTCAAACTATTAATGGTAGAACATGAACTTGAACTCAAGGGTATATCCACTGTGGTGTCTCTGGGCTACACTTGGGAAGATGACAGTTCCAGGTCACTGCTGCCACCACAACTGTCTTTTATACTGCCTCTCCGCCTGCAGCCACAAGTGCCGGACCCAGTTATTACCATGTATCTCTGCTCAGCTTGCTTCCCTCACTACCAGGCAGCGACATCGCACAGGCCAGCAGTGAAGCAGACATCAGGGTGGATTCTTTTTCTCTCTCCCACCGCTGCCTTCTGTCTTTCTCTCCCCCCACCACCCCCATCTTCCTCCTCCTTTAAGGAAACACCACCATACATACACATATGTAATTTTAGTCTTTTATGGTTTGAAAATGACACACTCAGGAGTTGGCGTTTCCTGTGCTTTGCATCACACTGCCAGCAGGAAATTGCTGTGCATGTCTGTCTGTGCACCCCCACCAGCACCACGTCCCCACCCCCATATACACACAACCACATCGATGGTGACGGTCATTTTTGCAGTAGATACCATCTCAACCGCCACTACATCTTATGATTCTCAGCTGCCTCCTTAAGACCTTGTTTCTTTTAAATGAAGGCAGTTGTCATTGAGGGACTGATTTCCGGGACCTCTCTTGGTGTTTTCTGTCAAAACAAAGGGGAAAGGGACCAATGTTTGTCAAGGAGCTGCGTTGTGCATGGCGCTTCACGTACGTTGTCCCATTTCATCCTCAGAACAGGGTAGCTGAACCCACTTTAAAGTTGGGGAAATGGGGTTGAAGAGGGCAGTGCCTTGCGGGATTGGAGCCTTGCTGACCCAGCTTCAAAGCCCGTGCACTTTCCACTCACCGTGCTGCCTCTCAGCAGATCGTGGGAATCTGTGACATGAGACACACGTTTCTTCTCCTTTCCCATTGTAAGGAACGTTTGCACTTTATTTTGTTTTTGTATGTGTTGGTTTTCTCCATCAGAGATTGAGTTCCTTGGTAGAGAGAGCGTAGTGTGACAGCCGCCTGAGACACGGAATCATGCCTGGCTCTCCAAGGCAGGTTGGGGTAGTGGAAAGAGTGTTGGCTGAGAGACTGGCTAGCTTCTGGTCCTAGCGCTGTGTGGCCTTGGGCAAGCCTCTTCATTTCCCCCGGCCTCAATCATTTCATCTAGAAACTGAGACTGTTGGTAACTGTCTAAGGTCCCTTCCAGGTCTCACATTCAAAGCAAACACCTAAGAGTACCTCTAAATCACACAGTCTAAACTTCTTGCCCAGAATAGACTGAGGGACTTAAAAAAAGAAAGGCTGGAGAATGGACCACTCAACCTCTCTGGCCAGTCTGCTGATTCTTACTAGTCAGCCTTGACTGGATATTATCAAGCAGGTCCTGCCTGTGATGTTAGGCCTTTGTGTGATCATGTTGAGTAGCTGGAAGCTGAAGTACGCATGTGTGGGCACAAAAAGGAATAGGCTGAGGGGAAAGTGTTGAAGCCAGCCTGGAGGGCGTCACTGCTCTTTGGCTTTCCTCTGTAAGTGCTCTCACTCCCTCTGCACTGAAAGGAGTTGACATTGCAGGGCTGTAGATTGCATTTTTTTTTTTTTTTGAGACAGAGTCTCACTTTGTCACCCAGGCTAGAGTGAGTGCCGTGACGTCAGCCTAGCTCACAGCAACCTCAAACTCCTGGGCTCAAGCAGTCCTGCTCCCTCAGCCTCCTGAGTAGCTGGGACTACAGGCATGCGCCACCATGCCTAGCTAATTTTTTCTATATATATTAGTTGGCCAATTAATTTCTTTCTATAGTAAAGATGGGGTCTCACACTTGCTCAGGCTGGTTTCGAACTCCTGACCTCGGGCGATCCGCCCGCCTCGGCCTCCCAGAGGGCCTCCCAGAGTGCTAGGATTACAGGCGTGAGCCACCGCACCCGGCCTAGATTGCATTTTTTTATAATTCAATTCTGAGCTTATGGCCGGTATGCAATAGGGAATGAATGAATGAGTGAACAAATAACCAGACAGGGTTTAGGTATGACCTTTAACATACAGAGGAGGCAAAAGGACCATCTTTTGCAATGGACTAAATTCTTTATACATCATGGTGAGATTGTAAGGATTAAATGATATGATGCATGTTACATGCCAGGTGTGTGGTTCAGCGCAAAGCAGATACCATGTAAGTGTTAGCAGAAGGAATGAAGCAATGGATGGGAGAATAACCAGGACATTCTGCCCAGAAGGCTGGCAGGACAGTGTCCTCTCTGGGCTGAATGGCTCCTGCCCACCAGCCCCTGATGCTAATTGAGCATCTTCTCTGTGCTCCTCATTCTACTAAATAAAACGTGTGTGGAGAGGATGGTAAAGGATAAAAAGTGTCAGTCACAAGAAATTTATCTTTTTCCCACTTCAATTCCCAATTTATCTTTTTACCACTTACTAGATGGTACAATGATTACAGAATCAAATGCTAATTTGGTTGGTGCAATTACAGTTCAGGAAAAATGAGAGATTAACATGGGCTGGTAGAAGAGGAGATTTTAACGGAACCACTAGGTAGTGGGATTTTTAAAATGATCTACATCTTTACAAACTTGGACTTGGATGTCACACATGTAGATGTATCTGTAAAACATTACAAGTGACTAGGATAGAAAAAGAAGTTGATTATTAAACCTAGTGGTGATAGTCATGTTAGGAAATATGTAAGTGGCATTTATTAAATTTCAAAGAATATTCCTTTTCTTTTTCTACTTTACAACAAATGAGCCAGAAACCTTTTCCTTACAATAATAGCTACTGGCCTTTTTAGGGGTCATGTGTTTCAATGAATCTGACATACAGCCTGCTCATTGCACATTGATCAGGGGCTTGCAGGAAGTCACTTAGGCAGGAACAGATCAAGAGTTGCACAAGAATCCCTACAAAGTGCCTTTTAGTTGAACAACAAAAATAAATCATCTCATGAAGAAAATTTGGGAGTTGTTATGCTATGAGGGTTTGTAGTCCCCTTCCACTAGAATGCTGACTGACACCATATTTCATGATGTTTTTTCCTGTCCTGATGAGAGGTGAGCATGTCCTGCCTCGTCAAGAGAAGACACTATCATTGGGATGGGGTGTGGTTCACTTAACCTCAGCAATGACAGGATATTCTTTTATCTCTTGACTGACTCAGACTGGGGTGGCTGCTGAGCATTTATTTGTTCACTGATTTATTCACTCAACAAATAGTTCTTGGGTATCAGCTCTGTGCCAGGCTCGGTGCTGGGTGCTGGCGTTACAAACGTGACTAAGATGTAGTCCTCGCCTTCAAGGAGTTTGCAGAGTCTACAGATTAGTGGGTGAAAGAGATGTGCAAATAGATCATTGGGACGTGGTGTGGTGAGTGCTGAAGTGGAGATGCTGTGGGAACATGGAAGAGGGCAAACTCACTGTGCCCCTGCGAGTCAGGGAAGGCATCACTGGCAAGGTGATGCTTGGGCTGGATCTGAAGGGTGAGGACCAATGTGCTGGACAGAGAAGTGAGGGAAAGACACCCCAAAAGACTTCACATTTATTAGCTTCTTACCAAGATCCAGGCACTGTTAAGTACTTTCAGGTAAACATCTCAATCATCTCAGAAGTCCTTCAGGGTAGGTCTTATTTTCCCCTATCATTGCAAACAAGGAGACTAAAGCTTACAGGAGTTCAGTAGCCTATTCAGGGTCACATCTAGAATCAGAACTGAGACTTGGACATAATTTTGGCAGCTTCCAAAGCCTAGAGTCTTTCTGCCATACTGCCTGCCTGTAATAGCAACAGACGTCACAAAAGAGCAGTTTGGAGAACAGTAAGGAGCCAGGTGGGCTGGCAAGTGGGGAATGGGAGTAAGTGCTGGAAAAGGAACCTGAAAATGTAACCTGAAGCCAGGTCATCAGGGGCTTCCTGTGATATCAGGGACTTCCTCCACTCCACAAGCACTGAATAAATACCTGCTATTTTCCAGACACTAAGCAAAGAGGTAGTGCATGAAGGCCCTACCCCCAGGAGCTCACTCTCTGACCAGGGAGAGGTGGAAGGACTCTCTCTTCTGGAATAGACTCACACTTGTTCCTTTTGGGAGGAGAAAGCAAAAGCTCTACCAACAGCCCAGCAGGGATTATTTGCTCTGTAGAATGCCTTAGGCAGTGAGAAATCATAAGAAACATTTAATAAGAACTGAATCTCTTTGGTCTCAGGACCAAAGAGACTGGTCGCATGGTCACCAAACCAGAACCATGAAGTGATGACACTGTCCCTGTCAGGATTTGGAGATGGGCTGTCCTGACGATGTGTGACCGAGCATTGTGAGTGAACATGTTTGGGATAGGGTCACTTCTTCCTAGGTAACTGGGAGAAGAGAGGAAGTTCTAGCAGAGTTTACTCTGCATGGAAGGACACTCTCTGGGCACACTTGGAAGAGAGGAGACATCCTTGTCGGACCTGGGAAAACTGCCCCCACTCCTTGCCCCACTCCTAGGTGTACCTATGTGCAACCCTTACATAGCCCTGCGACCACCTTGGCCCAGTCACATTCTCTGCCTAAAACACTTAGATTTGCTACTTTAGGAAGTGTGCACATTAGCTTGATGACAACTATAAAACCCTCTTGGATTTATGTAGCATGTTATCTTCCAAGAGTTCAAAGTTTCCTTAAGACTTTTATTCCACTTTCTTCTAAGTACATCTCTATGAATAAGAAAAGATAGATTTTTGTGATTTTCATTTTATTGAGATGGATGGAGAGATGCACACTTATCAATTAGAACAATATTTTTCCAGGCAGTGTAAATTAGGAAAGTTTCAGGAGGGCAGTTACTGTATTTGATTTGGCTTGACATTTTAGCTTTTCAGTGAGCATAAATGATTGTGGAAGCCTTAAAAACAGAAGCTGCACAAATTGAACTTGCCGGCACAACTGTCTGCTCAAGTTTGGTCTCCCTGATTCCAGCCTGCTTTTTCTGTTTTCATTTCCCTAACATTAAGCACCAGGGACATCATGCCCCTCCACCCACAGCCTTCCAGGAAAGTCTCTGATAAACTCATATCACTAAAATGGAAAGCACTGAGAAGCAGATAACTACCCCCGCCGGTTATTCACGGAGTGTTTGCTAGATGCCAGCATGAGCAGGGGGCTGTTTACATGCATTAGCTTATTTGGTTCTCATAGCAACCCCAATGAGGTAGATTTCTATTAACCCCCTTTTACAGATGAGGAAACCAAAGATTAGGGGACCTTACTATATTATCCCTCACTGGGGTATTTACATTTACATGGTAGACACGGAAGACTACAGCCAAAAAATGAATCTGGGCCAAGTTCAGTGGCTCATGCCTGTAATCCTAGCACTCTGGGAGGCCGAGGTGGGTGGATCCTTTGAGCTCAGGAGTTCAAGACCAGCCTGAGCAAGAATGAGACCCCATCTCTACTAAAAATAGAAGCAAATTAGCTGGACAACTAAAAATATATGGAAAAAATTAACCGGGCATGGTGGCAAATGCCTGTAGGCCCGGCTACTCGGGAGGCTGAGGCAGGAGGATCTCTTGAGCCCAGGAGTTTGAGGTTGCTGTGAGCTAGGCTGATGCCACGGCACTCTAGCTCAGACAACAGAGTGAGACCCTGTCTCAAAAAAAAAAAAAAAACAATGAATCTGCTTTTGAGAAATTTCACGTGTCGTCTGGGGATCGTGGATTAAACCTTTGAATTTGAAAAAGAAAAATGTTGTCCTTGACTTCTCTGACTTTTCAGTTAAAGGGAACATACATTTGTTAGTCATCTGGGAGGTTTGTGGGATCATGTAAAATATCAAAAGCTTCATTTGGCTATATGTTTACGAATTTCTTTGTGCATTGTAACAATGAGCTCATTTGTTTACTGTGGGTTCTCAGTGAAGTAAAGCTCTTTTCCTTTTGTAGACATTTGCCTGAAAAAATTAAGGATGACCAGCAGCTGAAGAATATGAGTGGCCAGTGGTTTTATGAAGCCAAGGCAAAAAGGCACAGAGACAAAATCCATGGTGCAGATATCATCAGAGCATCTATGAGGAAGAAGAGGCTCCAGGTAGCAGGTGAGTTGATTTGGCTAGTATACTCACAGCCAGCATTTGTTTGAGGAGGAGGAGTTGGGAGAAGGGAAGGGTGTCAGAATCATCACTGAAATCTGCTAAGGGAAATCACTTGGAGGTATGCTTTTCAGAATGTGTGGCCCTCCACTTAAAATCTTCTTGCCCTAGATTCAGATGGATGAGGGAAGGATTAAGTGACTGAGTGTGATATAGAGGAACATAGGAAGCCTTTAGGTGCATGTTGAATTGTCATAGCATAGATAATTGGGTTTATAAAGGATTTACCACCTTTTCTTTGGCTTTTAACTCTGAAGATTCAGAACCTTCTGAATAAGGTGAAGGTGTAGACAGAAAGAGATCAGCCTTCCTGTTCAATGATCCTGACACCTGGTCAAGCCTTCTTTAATCGACCAAGTATATTATTTAAGGGACTGTAAAGGCAATATTTTGAGGGCTTCTGTTGAGTTCAGTAAATATGTACTGTGTGCCTTCTCTCTAATTAATTCTGGATTAGTCAGTGTAAACCCTTGTCTAGGTCTGGCTTGTACTCAATAAGGAAAATAGCTATCACTTTTTGAGCATCTAATATATGTTAATTTCTATTTAATTTAATAATTTAACTTCTATTATTTCTAATTGTAATTGTAGCAGCAATAATGTAAGGTAGGCATTATTTTTCCCCATTCTGCATATGGGGTATTTGAAGCTCAGAGAAGTAACTTGTCCAAGATCATATAGTTAGCAAATGGCAGAGCTGGAATTTCAAAATCTTTCTGCCTCAGTGCCATACTCCTTGAAGATAGTCTGACTATTTAGTATGTACAATGCATTGTTTGCAGCCCTGTTACTTTTCAAAACCATCTAGTTGGCAGGGCACGGTGGCTCATGCCTGTAATCCCAGCACTCTGAGAGGCCAAGGCAGGAAGATGGCTTGAGGCCAGGAGTTTAAGACCAGCCTGGGCAACATAGTGAGACCCCATCTCTACAAAAAATTTAAAAAATTAGCTGGACATGATGGTGCATGCCTGTAGTCCCAGTTACTTGGGAGGCTCAGGCAGGAGAATCACTTGAGCCCAGGAATTCAAGGCTATAGTGAGCTATGATTATGCTCCTACACTCCAGCCTGGGTGACAGAGCAAGACCCTTTTAAAACAAACAAACAAAAAAACTCCACCCAGAGCTTCAGAAATCTTGAAAAGTACTGGTTAGTACTGTGGACTTCATTTTGCAGTTGAAGAAACTAGATTTATGTGTAAAGGGACTTATGGGGATACCACCCTGGAAAGTATTTGGAAATTGGGAGCCCTAGTATTGCTTCATAATTTTAACACTGATGAAACTATTCTTGGCACTTACTGGCTATGTGGCCTTAGGCAAGTTTCTTGAACTCTTTGATCCTCAATTTCCAAATCTGTAAACTTGGAAAATAGCTCCAACTTCATAGGATAACACATGCAAGGAACTTGGCAGAGTGCCTGGTAGTTAGTCATCATTCAGTTGATGCTCATTTTCAGAGAAGTTCAGGTAAAGAAAGAGTCCTGGGTGTTCAGAGGCAAAAGAGGTGATTTTTCTGGAGCACAGAGGTTTTATGGAGACTCAGACATATGAGCTGGGATTGAGGAATATTTAGAATTTGGATGTGTAGAAACTGGGAGGTAGAGGAGGAGGCAGTGGAGAGGGACATTCTAGACTAGAATCATCTGTTTCCCTTTGTGTCTTAGAGCCAAGCATTGTGTTGGGCCCAACACATTGTGGCTGTTCACTAAATGCTTGGTAATGATGTTGCTTCTGTGCCGCTGAGGACTGTCTGCTCTGAGCATCCCTCGGCCATGCGCATTTGGTCCTGACCCCAATTCAAGTCAGATTAGCCTAGAGGCGGTCTCAATTTTGCTTTAGTGGTCTCTGGAGTCACCTGCACCTTTAAAGGCACGCCTGCACTCTTAGAAGACTCTGCCTGGGAGAAGCTAACATCACGGGAATCTACTGACTGCTCTCACAGATGTAATTCTAATTCCGGGTACTCAGACTCGGTGATTGCCTTGGCACTAGGAAGGCCTGAGGTTCAGGTTCGAGCCTTCGGTGATAATAAGAGAGTTGTAGGTCATAGAGGTGAGAGATAACCCTCCTGTCTTTATCATTTCCTGTTTCAGCTGAGCAGAGTAAGGACAGAGCAAATGGGGCGAAGGAAAGCTGGGTGAATAATGTCAACAAAGATGCTTTCCTTCCCTCAGAGCTAGCTGGCGTTGTGGAAGAGCCAGAAGAAGATGCAGCACCAAGGAGCCTGAGGTAAGACAGAGTTTTTGGGGAGAGCTGCTGCATGTGGGTCTCATGGCTTGGTGTGCCGTACAGGCAAAATGGCAGGCTGTGGGTACAAACGCCAGACTGGCGTTATGGGCGTGGGGAAGGGGGCAGTGTATGAGGGAATTCTGGGCCCTGGGGAATTCTGGGACAAATCTAGGAATTCTGGGGACAAATCCTGAGCAATACTCTTCCCCAGCTCCTAGAATTTCTAACAAATCTGAATCTGAAATAAAATTAAAATGTTAAGTGGTGATTTCTTCTGGCAGCAGAAATAGTGTTTTTTGTTTTTTGTTTTTAATTTGTACTGAGGATTTCTCCTTGGAGTAGAATGAAGAGGTACTCTAAAATGAATATAGAAGAATAAGTCATTTTAGGGAAGCAGTGCATTACGATTGCATTGTAACTGTTTGGTGCAATGGAAGAAGGTCAAGCACAGGAACTAGACAGACACGAAATCAAATTCTGAATCTGTCATTTATTAGCCATTTGACTATGTCTGAATCATTTAACCTTCCTGTGTTCCTAACCATAGCTAAGAATGATAATGTATAGCCAAAAGGCTATGAAGAGAATGAGTGATAACATATGTAGACTATCTGGCACATGATACATACTAAATGAATGCCTCTTAAAGATACAGATTGTCCTCGATATTTCAGTCTTAATTTTTTTGGTGTTTTCCATACATGTTATTATCTGACCAATCAAAATGTACCTTTGTACATCCTTCCTAAGAAATAGCCAGTTGTGGGGTGACATTGCCACACACCTTTTAAACCGTAATGATTTGCTTTTAGGTATTTAAGGATCTTCCCATTGGTACCTGTCCCTTAAAGGTATAGTTGTTGCCCTTTGGTGGGAGGGGCAGTTAGTTGCATTTTATCTCTAGCTCCTCAGTGATGATAGTTTGATTCAGAATCTCCAATGGGATGAAGTTGATGAATTTGCTGGTGGGACAGTCACTGAGTCAGGGCAAGGCTGATGCATGTGGGGATCAGGAATATTTCCAATGTAGTTTATAGGTGAAGGGAAGGGTGTATAATATAGGTTCCAGTAGGCATTTCAAAGTCAAATATGAGTAAAGTTATGTCTCATGGATAATGGAATACTAACTCTATTAATATACCCATTATCTGTGCATTTCCTAACTTGAAAGGGGGTCATTTTGTTTCCCATGAATTGTAGGCTATACTGTTTTCCCTCTGGGACTCTTTGTAATGTTCTATTATATCTGTAGAGGCCTCGGATAGAAGTTAAAACACCTAAACGGTAGTCACTAATTGATACTGTGACCTTGCCTTAACTTCTTGGGCCTTTACTTCCTCAGCTTTAAAATGGGAATAATAAGGGCCAGGCACAGTGGCTCACGTCTATAATCCTAGCACTCTGGGAGGCCGAGGCAGGTGGATCACTTAAGGTCAGGAGTTTGAAACCAGCCTGAGCAAGAGTGAGACCCCCGTCTCTACAAAAAAAATAAAATAAAAATAATAAAATGGGAATAATAATAATTTGCTAGCAGAATTCTTGAGCACTTAATTAGCTAGTGAATATACAGTTCTTAACATAGTCCATAGCACATAGTAAGTGCTCAAGAAATGGAACCATGGGCTTTTGCATACAGACGTTTTAGGAAGCCTAGGATAGGGTGTGAGGAACACTTTAGTTCCTTCCTTTTGGTGATTCCCTATTCACCAGCTGCCTACTGCGGTCCCCAACCCCCAGGCCGCAGCTCAGTACTGACCTGTGTCCTGTTAGGAAATGAGCCACGTCTCACCTCACCACCTCTCCCCAAACCATGGCACCCCACCCTACCACCCTTGGTCCATGGAAAAATTGTCTTCCATGAAACCAGTCCCTGGTGCCAAAAAGGTTGAGGACCACTATAGGAAGAAGGCCTTTCTTCCATAAAGAAAGATGAGACCTCAAATATTGGAAACCGTAGGAGAAAGAACACAGTCATTGAGATTCACCACCAGAGAACTGAGAGCAGCTCTTAAGAACTGAGATGATGGGGACTAGGGAGTGTCAGAGCACTGAGCAGCTGAGGGAAGTGGGAACAGGTGCTAGAGAATGGGAATGGAGAAGATTTGTCAGAGACAAATAGCTCATTGCCCAGTTTTATCTGGGTCAGACTTCCCATTCTTCTTCTAGTAGCTCATTTAATCTCAAAGGGCCTGAGAAACAGAGGTGCCACTGCCTTCATAGCCAGACTTATTTTCCTCATGACCCCACAGGGCTGGTGGGTATTCTTTCACTCCTCTTCCATTTGAGGCTAATAACATAGCATTCATGATTCACATCTCCACTGTTTCTACATTCCTTGTGTGAGTGACCTCCAACAAGCCTTCCTGGTCTCATCTGTAAATCAGAACAGAATTGCCTCACCAGGATGTTGTGAGATTAAATAAAAGAGTTATGGGAATCACTTGGCACTTCTCGGGAAGAAAGAAAATTGGCCGTTTCCAGGTGGCATTATAATTATGTTATTATTTCATGGATGAAGTATGGTCGAGAAGGCAAGAATAAAGATGTTAGATGTACCCAGCGTGCTTTGCTCATTGAAGGCCAACCCTGTAATACGTGGCATGGACAGTAATCACGCAGAACTGTAGGAGGAGTTATTTTTTACTTCCTTCTTTCCATGTCAGAAACTACTACTTTACTTGGTATCAGGTTCCTGCAATGTTTCTCACCTATACTTTAAACTTTGTAAACTGGGTGTGTTAAGTGTATTTTGGGGCCTGTACTTTTAGACTAAGTGAACTTCAAAAGAATGAGTCAATACCTGTCAATATTTTCTTAGCCAGGAGTCAGGGAGTATGAGGCAACAGTGACTAATTATTACAGTTTCTGAAGGAGTTTTGCTAATAAGTTAGTTCTACAGCAAGAATCTTCTTTTTACTATGGGCACAATTCTGTGGGGTCCTGCCCATGAAGAATTAAAACACTATGAATACCCAGCATGTAGTCAAGCACTGGCAGCCACCTGCATTCTTTCTGCATTCACCTTTGTTTGCACCTGTAGCACAAGGAAGTAGAGAAAGGTTTAAGAGTAAAGGAGTAGAAAATAAGGTTTCCTCTGTAGTGGCAAAGGGAAAATTCTGAATGCTCACAGTTCTAATTCTGGTTATGGACTTTCAGCTGGGCAGTGTGAGAGGCGCATTCAAGATGGGGAACTAGAAGGCACGGAGGTAGGAGGGGGCTTGGTTGCCATAGAGGTTTGTGATGGCCATTACTCAAAAACATCTCCAGAGAATGTCTCCAAAATGAGTTAAGGGAGAACAGAAAAAAACCCTTCACTATGATATTTTATTCCACAGCCTTGCAGGTTTTCTTCTGGGCATTTACCTATGAAATGGCAAGAAAATGATGAATCTCCTTGCAAGTAAAACTATGTATCCCCACTAAATTTTGTTTTTGGTAGAATTAAAATGCTATTGATTAAGTCAGTGTAGCAAACCAAAAATGCTAGTCTTTGTGCTTCATTGCCTATGCTTTAGTGATACTTCTGACACCAGTCTTCCTCCCTCTTACCCTCTGTGGAATAGCAAACAACCCATTTAAACAAGATCTTTAGCTCTGGAATAGTTTTTTTACACTAATTTATTTTTCCTCGAAGGCTTTTGTATATATCCATCTTCTTCTTCCAGAAGGATTAACTACTTGCCTTTACCTCCAGTAATCAGGTCAGTGTAAGGTAACTAGCTTACTCTCAAAGACAGGGGAGAGATGAGCTGATCTATTGGACAATGCATTTTATATTTTTTTTCTAGGATTGATAGCAAAATCAGTAATGTGTGTATTTCATTTCTTGGAGACCTGGCCTACATTTATATTGAGCTCTTAAGAGAAAGCCTTCTTAATCCTATAAGATCTTGGATTTATTCAAATCAGTTGTAGCAGGAATAGTTTCACCGTGACATCAAAATGCTTCATGCTTGGATAGGAATATTCATGTTCAACAAAGCTCTAGCGTGAACTGTGGCAACACTGGAGGACTATGCATGTCCCCAATTAATGTTTCACTTAAAAAAATACGTGACTTGAAGGGCTCCGCATACCATATTTTCTAATTTGCTTCCCTCCATCCCTGAGACATTTCTTCATTTGTTTATTTGTTCAAGCTTCATTGAGCGCCAACACATGCCAGCGCAGTGCTGGGTGCTGGGAATGAGACACAGCGTGAGCCCCAAAGGATCTCACAGTCCAGAGGGGGGAGATCAAAACAACAAAAAACATGTGAAAAATATAATTTGCAGAATTTGTTTCTGGTTCTCTAAACTGTTAATATTTAAGCTAAAAAAAAAATACCACAGAGGAAGGTATATCTGCTGTTATTTTTAACTGTTTTAGAGAGAATGGCTGGTAAAGGTTCAAAAATTTTTCAAAGTTACTGCATGTGCGTGGGAGCACTTTGTGGCTGGATATAGAAGGCAGATGGGGCGCCCAGCTGTCCATGTGGTGTGATTTTAACGGTGCTGTGAAGTCCTACCTCTTCCCCCAGTGGCCCTTCCACAGTAGCTAACATTATTTATTCATTTTAGTTAAGGCTTCAGAGACTTGTATTTAAATGCAGACATTTTTAGGAGGGGAACCCTAATGCCACAACCAGTCTCACATTTTAATAATCTTCTTAATAAAGTAAACTAATTTTTTTCTAAGAGCTGCTTCTAATATCACAGGTCCATTTTGAAGAGTGCCTGAGGGAAGAAAGTTACAGGGCACAGGATGTGGAATTTGGCTCGCTTCACAGTTTGAAAATCTCATCATGTGGAATGTATTGAGATCTTTCATATTCAGGACACAGTCTACTACCCTCTGAGACGAATTCTAAGAAACAAAAGACACAGTATCTGGCTATAAAGAGACCATATTCTCTTAGGAAAAATAATGCATCTATATATGAAGATCTGACCACATGATAAAACGGTTCTAGGCAGGGAGCAAATTTCTAATCCAAAGTACCAGTAAAATGTGCTGTATTAATTGAGACAAGGGAGATTCACTCCTAGCCAGGCTGATACAGGAAAGGAGAGTTGGACTGGACTTGAAGATGATAGGGAAAATGTGGGCAAAGAGAGCAGAGAAAACACAGGGAGGGGCTGGGAGATAGTTGAATAGAAATGGCAGTCAGGTGAGTTTCTGGGACAGTAAGTAGATTGACCACTTGGCAGGAATGGTCAACAGAAAGGAGGACTGGAAAGGTATATTGGGGTAGATGGCGGATGGTCTCAGGTACCTTGCCAAGGAGTTCAGACTTCATTCCACCAGCCTTGAGGATCCAGGTAATGGTAATGATCAGAAGAGGGACATGATCAAAGTTGTGTTTTGGACCATTTGGATGAGCTTAGTGGTAGAATGCCAAATGGATTAGGAGAGTGGAACTTAGGAGTAAGGAGGCCAGATGTGAAGCCAATACAGTTGGCAGAAATAAAGGAGGTATCAGTAGAGGTGGAAAAGAAGAGACAGTTGTGTGAGTCACTAGGAATGAAAAATCACCCAGGCTTTTCTCCTGTCCTCTTGCCAAAAACCCTGTTTTAATAATGCAAGAAATCAGAGGCAGTATAGCTTAGCCATTAACATGATTATCTTTGGAGTCAGACATACCTGGGTTCAAATGCCTAACTCTTTCACTAATTTTGTGACCTCAATCAAGTTACTTAACGTCTTCAAGCCTTAGTTTTCTTATAAGTAAAATGGGGAGAATGAAATACCTCACAGAGATGTTGCAAGGACCAGTTGAGAATAAGATGGTTGCCTACTGATGATTGCCCAATAAAAGACAGGCGAGCAAAACAGTGTAGTATTCCTTAAGAGAAGCAGAGCAACTAGGAAGTAGCTGTATTTTTGGACAAAGTTTGAGGCATAAGACTGTTGTTCTCATTTTTTCCTATTAAACAGATTGCAAACTGTAGCTAACCAAGTATCTCACCCTTATCCCATTTCCCCCATCCCAACCACAGTGTAACCCAATTAATACTGTGTGTTTCTCGTATTTTAGTGCCTGACCATGTGTTCTGACTGCTTTGTTTCTTCCTCTCTTTTGCTTTTTGAATAGCAGAAACAAAGACATTTTGTTTAATACCTAAATAATCTACCTCATTGTAGTTTGGAAAATAATATGGATTAAAAAAAATACCCAGCCCCCTGTCTGCTGCTGCCTCTCCTGGCACTGGCTCAGTTGGCCTTTATTTAGTCATGTATCAGGCACTGTGCAAGGCACTGCAGGGAATATAAAAGTGGTCAAGATGCTCTTGAGGGATCTCCCAGTTTACTATGAGAGATAAGAAATGTACACACAGAAAGAGATTGAAAAGTAGACATGAAACACGTGGCTGGATAGAGTTCTTCAAGAGAGAGACTGATGTCATCTCTAGGAAAGAGGAACAACATGATGTCCAATATGGGCAGTTGGGGCTGGGGTCCTGGAAGCACAGGAACTGGAATTCCAGGGAGCAGAGGGAGAAGAATGCAGAGACTTTGCTTACCCTTTGGGCTTGGTGAGTGGAAAGGGAGAAGGAAGAACATGGCAGGAGAAGATGGGTGTTCCATGGAGACCCCTCCACCATCAGCACTTGGCTCAGGTCCTTTGATTATGTGGCTGCTTTATTTACTCAAGGGAGACCATACAAAATACTCTGAGAAAATGAGCATAGTATCTGCTGTAAGGATGTTGTTCCTCATATCATCCAATGGCTTCTTAAAATGACACTCAAGAGAAATTGCTTTCTAATTCTGAGTTATTGGTTGTTTTTATTGTATAGACACTGAATTCTATCAGTGACCAGGTTTTTTTTTTTTCTTTCCTTTTGCTGCTAGATAACTTGATTCGAGTTTGTGCACATGTATTGCAAGAATATATGATTCCTATAATGTGTCTATTAGCCTTAATTCTGGCTCCATTTTAATTTCCTACTCTGTTTCCTACCCATCCCTTTTTTCCCATTTTCTTGCCTCCATGTGATCAAGCTGTATTTTATATACATCTGCCTCATCTGTTGTAATTCCTTTCTGGAGCAGTGAGGAGGGTAATGAAGGGATGGCTTCCTCAAGAGTCCATCTTTTTCCTGAGACTAACTTTGTACAAAAATAGCAATTGAAGTACAGAGGTGAGGTAAGGAAAGGAAATGAAACTGCAGGAACATCTAGCCCATCATTTTAGTGACAATAATCTTGGTCTAGGTTCTGTGGCCCTGGGGCAAATTGCTCCTCTCTCCAGGGCTTTGGTTCCTTTGCTGTGTGGGGAAAAGCCAGCAGCTCCTCAGATATTTTCTAAGCTCTTAACTCTGTGATGCCGCTAAGAAGTGGTGATGTTTTATAGGGTACAGTGATTTCAGCCAACAGTGACTTCACCACCTATGCCTGAGGCAAGGCCACTGGAGCAGGAAGTCTGAGCAGGTTGTTCCCCCACACCCCCTTCCAGAGCCTCCATGACCCTCTTTTGCCCTTCTTACTCAATAGCACAGGGAGAAGATGTTCAGGAGGGGGCCTGCTCAACTCGCCTCTCTCCATTCACTCTTAACCTTACTCCACCCTGGGGCTGTCCTCTTCCTGGGATAGGGAATCTACCTTTAGAGAATCTTCATGCCTTTAAGCCAGCTTCATCTTCCAGCCTGCCTTAAGAACTTTCAGCTTCAGAGGCATGATTTATTTTCCCTCAAAGGGTGATGTTTTATTCTCTGAATTGTTTCTTTTGCAGTTCCAGTGTGGTAAATCCAGCTTCGCCTATGATTGATATGTCCCAGGAAAACACAAGGAAACCAGCTCTGTCTCCGGCTAAGGTAGATTGAGCCCAGACTTTAAAAATCTCATTTTTGGCAAGAATGCTACTTTTCTCTTTTTATGAAAAACACCACAAAATAAAGAGAATTTTGTAGTACTCTTTTTGTTATAAATGTCAATAATTTTTACTATTTTTCTTGTGGTAGGAAAAGTTGATGAATGCTATGTTAATCCATTGCTGAAGACCCAGATTCCTTGCCCAACGCAGTAGTCCCCAACCTTTTCGGCACCGGGGACCAGTTTCATGGAAGATGATTTTTCCATGGAGTGGGATGGAGGATGGTTTCAGGATGATTCAAGTGCATTATATTTATTGTGCAGTCAAACCTCTCTGCTAATGATAATCTGTATTTGCAGCCTCTCCCCAGCATCAGCTCCACCTCAGATCATAAGGCATTAGATTCTCCTAAGAAGCATGCAACCTAGATCCCTCACATATGCGCAGTTTACAGTAGGGTTCTGCGCTCCTGTGGGAATCTAATGCTGCTGCTGATCTGACAGGAGGCGGAGCTCAGGCGGTGATGTGAGCTATGGGGAGCAGCTGTTAATGCAGATGAAGGCCCCCCCCCCACCGCTCACATCCTGTGCAGCCCAGTTCCTAATGGCCACAGAGGAAGGTGCCTGTCCCACAGCCTGGGGGACCCTGCGGTTGAGGACCACAGCCCTCAAGTGTAAAAAGTCCCGAAAGTATTTGGTACTGCTTCTTTTAAGCATATGGAATGTGGCTTGTTGGTTCCGTGTCAGTCCTTATTCCTACTCATAGCTTCCTGAATCTCTGTTAGACATCTGCTTCTGAGAGAGACTTGTCAATTTATGAAACTGTAGACAGTAAACATTGGTATTCAGTCTTATATTAATTAAAAATCCCTATTTATTGATACCCTTTTTGTTATTAGAATTGATGAGCATAATAATGACAATGAGGCACTTCAGGATACCTAAAGTGTCTCCTAAATCCTAGGAAAGGTCAATTACAATTGTATTCCAGACAGGTGTAATCTAGCACAATGAGAGTCTGGTGTGGTAGGAAAAGCACTGGTGGGAATATAACCTGATGAGAGACCCAAGTTTGCTTTGACCTTGCCCAGGTCTTTGCTCTATCCAGAGCCAAGTTTTCTTACCTGTAAAATGGAACTTTGATTTAAATGCTTGTTTCTGATCTAACTTTGTAGGACTCTGGCTTTAAGTATATTTTTACAATTTTTTTACATGGCGTATGTGATAATTCTGTGCTAAGCATATTAATCAGGACAACTATTTTTCAAACATGCCAGAGTTTACTGGATAAAACTATCAAAACTGTAGATAATAAGCATTTGCTAACACTGAGTTGCTACATGACATTTAAAATAAGTTTAATAAACAATATTTTTCCCCAGCAAAGGAAGAATCCATTTAATAGCTCCAAGTTGCCAGAAGATCACTCATTGCAACAAACCAAAAATGAACAGTCAAAAAATGGAAGAGCTGGTTTATTTCAGACTTCAAAAGAGGGTAAATATTATTTTTATGGACTAGATAGTTTTATCTTTGTTATCTGTGGACTAAGGGAAATTCTCAGAGTTCCTTTCCCTAAAATAACTTCCAAGAGAAAATGAAAAGTCCTGAAGACTTTCTTATTCTACTATGCCCATTGGTTTCTTCCTTGAGAAAGAGAAAGCATACACTTTAGAAGCTGGAAGTTCATGCATTCTGATCCTGGAGCTGCTGCTTGTTATGTGACCTCTATGCCTTGGGTTCCCTCATCAGTGACTTGGGAAATTTATTTGCCAGAGGCATTCAGTCTTTCACTTAACAGTATTAATTGGATGCCTACCATGTACCCACACGTCTCTGCTTAAAATTAAAAGAGGTTGCCTCAAGAAGAAAAGGCCTCTTGACAATGTTATGGTCCTTTAATCTGTAATTATCAGCCCAGTTGCCCAGAAGCATTTGCTAAGCAACTGCTAAGAGGAAATATTAGACAATTCAGTCTCTTCAAAAGCAACTCTAAGAAGATTCCACAAACATTAAAAGATTGGTCAAGGGGTAGAAAATTAACAATTGAACAGTGGGCTCTCAGTTGGCCTGTTTTAATAGAATATTTTCCATTGAGCACATTTTATGTTGTATGAAATATTTTATAGAAAAAAAAATCACTGGAACATGTTACCTGTTTTTAACTTTTTGAGAAAACAAATTTTTGTTTTAGGTATTAGAATTTTATTTTTCTTAAATTAAGTTTCCTTTTCTGATTTCCACATGAATTTTTTTTCAGAGACTTCTATGTTTTTATTAAGCCTCCTTTGAGCAAATTTTTTATTCTTTTTTAAAATAACTTCCTGTATTGAGTGTAAAATATCTCAAAGTATGTAAAGCACAGTAATCTTAAATGTACTGTGCAATGAAGTTCATGCATGAATTTTTTAATACACATTTTTCAGAGCAGTTTTAAGTTCACAGCAATATTGAGCAAAAGATACAGTCATACCCACATATGTCCTATCCCCACACAGGCACAGCCTCCCCCATTACCAGCAACATGCAACAGAGTGGTCCGTTTGTTAGAATTGATGGACTGCATTGAGACATCGTTATCACCCAAACTCCATAGTTTACATTAGGGTTCACTCTTGGAATTGCACCCTCTATACATTATACCCAAATGTATAATGGCATGTATCCAATAGATCCAACCTTGTAGTATTATACAGAGTAGTTTCACTGCCCTAAAAATCTGTGCTCCAGTGCATGAATTTTGTTTCTTAGCTCTTGATTTATTTTTTAGTAATTTTGAATTATGGGTACATGATAGTTGTATATATTTATAGGGTACACACATGATGTTTTGATACAGGCATATAATGTGTATTAATCAAATCAGGATAATTGAGGTTCAATCGTTTATCATTTCTTTGTGTTGGGAACATTCCAGTTCTACCCTTTCAGTTATTTTAAAGTATACCATTACTTATTATTGATTATAGTCTCTTTGTTTTGCTATCAAATATTGTTCATTCTATCTAACTAACTATATTTTTGTACTCACTAACTGTCCTCAATTTATCCCCCATTCCCTGCTACCCTTCCTGGCCTTGGGTAACCATCATTCTACTCTCTGTCTCCATGAGAACAATTGTTTTAATATTTAGCCCTCAAATATGGGTGAGAACACAATGCATGAAATTTTAAAGGCTTTTCACATTAGGTCTGCACTTATGCTGCCTACTTTACTGTCCTTAATAGTTCAATGCTTTTACTAACTATAGGTTAAGTTTATGATAGATATTTTAAGTTGTAGCATTATTCTCCATGATACATATATATATATATATCACCTAATGTGTTTTAATTTTCAGGTGAATTGTCAGAGTCAAAAGGAATGTCACCTATCCTAGATATTTCAAGCCAAACATTAGAGAAGTCAAAGGAGACTTTGCCAGGCCCTTCAGATGGATCTCAAGTCAAGGCTCCAATCCCCAAAGCCAGGAAAATGATCTACAAATCAAATGATTTAAACCAAGAGGAAAGCCAGTCTTTCCCTAGACAACGGACAGACTCCCTGAGCATAAGAGGGGCTCCAAAAGGGATCCTCAAGCGCAACTCCAGTTCCAGCAGCACAGACTCAGAAACTCTTCTTCGTTTTAATCACAACTTGGAACCCAAAAGCAAAATTGTGTCACCCAGCCTAACCATCCATGAGAGAATTTCTGAAAAGGAGCATTCTGTAGAAGATGACTCTTCTTCAAACTCACTGGAGCAATTAAAGCATGTGAGATTCTCCGCAGTGAGGGATGAACTTCCACAGAGTCCTGGACTCGTCCATGGCCGGGAAGTGGGAGAATTCAGTGTTTTAGAATCTGATAGGTTGAAGAATGGAACAGAAGATGCAGGGGATATAGAGGAGTTACAGAATGACCCTAAGTCTTCCCAATACCGAAAACCTTTGCCTTTGCATCCGTCAGCCTCAAGCCCAAAGGTGTCAAAACATGAAACACATCAGCCAATGACTTCAGGTTCGTTTCCAGTCAATGGGCTCCATTCTCATTCAGAAGTTGCAACTCCAAGACCACAGTCCATTGAGAATTCACCCACCATCAGTGAATACAAAGATAAATCATCAGAATTAACAAGGCTTGAATCAGAACTGCCCAAAAGCCCTGCTGGTAAGAAAGTTGTCACTACCAAGTTATAAAAACTGACCCAGTGTTCTTGGAATGACCAGGCCAGCCAGCCCTTTAGAAGCCTTTTAGGCATTCCAGCTAGAATTTGGATAGATGTCCCTGGGAAATGTTTAAACCTCTTAATAGGTTTGGAGGTTTTCCTCAATCATCAATAAGGAAAAGAAACAGGATAGCACAGTTTCTGGCCCAGTATGCTTTACCCTAAAAAACAAATAAACAAACCAAAAAACCCCATATAAATTATTTAAACAAATGGCAATTTTTTTTAGTTAAATCAAGGTATATATAGAGAGGGTAAGAATTAAAGAAATGCTAATATCTTTGTACAGAGTAAATATACTACTACTCATCTAATGCTAATTTATTAATTACCATTTTACCAAACTTCAGTTTCTCTTGTAATCTCAAGACAACCTTCAACTTTCTTAGCCTCAAAGGATGCAAACTAGACTTTAGTGCTTATTATGTAAAAGCCTCAGACTTTGGCCTGTCCAGGGCCTCTAGCCATTTGGTTTTAGACTTTATAAGCTCCAAAGGAACTTTTTTCTTTAAATGGCATGAATCGAGAGGCAATGAATGACTGCTTTTTCCTCCTAACTAGCCTTGTCTTGTAGGCTTCACCAATCTCAGGGAATGCCTCCAACTACTTTCTGATACCTTTATGATTGTGAAGTAATCATAATGCCTCATAATCATAATTTCTTAGATTTTAAAAAACAGAAGCAATGGCAAAAATTATGCTGTATACTCTCATCTTCAATAAATATGCACCCAACTCTATGATAATTTCTTTACAATTAGGAAAATTTACAATAGTAACAGTTAAGCTTCTAACTCTCCTGCTCTCCTCTCCCTTATTAGTCAGTATTAAGTTAACTCTGAGTCACTTTCGCTCAGCCCTGCAGCCTTTTCCATTTTATAGTCAATCCATTTCTTAAAAAACACTTAAAATCATCTTAACATGACAACTTTTTTAAAAAAATTAAAAATTAGCAAATGTTTTATTAAGAAATAATAGAACTCATATTAAAGGAAGTTATTGTTTGACCAAATGTTGACAAATAATTGCATGATATTTACCTAGCTGTTTATTCAAAAGATACACAAAATTTTTTTGATAATATTTCCCTTTATTATAACAGATAGAAGAATTTGGTAAGTCTTTCTTGTTTTGGAAACTGTACCTGTTTTCTCACAGATTACCTTTGTAATTTTGGATTTATTTATTTGTTTTTTTCTGATTTTTAAATCCCAACTGACCATTAAATTTGGGAGCAAAACATCAGCTAAACCCATTTTGATTGACTAGCAGCCTGTCTGGTCTCACAGAGTGCTTATAAATAAAACATTGCTTACTTGTTAATGCCCTGCTTTTTTCCCTTTTTGTTCATCACAAAAATATATGCAAGTAATACTGGAACATAAAAAGAAAACCAGGACCAAAAAATAGTAAGTGTGTGAATCATAAGGATTTGACTTTAGCTCTGAACTTCAGGGCAGTCAATGTCTCATTATCATACTGGAAAAAAAAATCCTTAGAGGAAACAAACCATTCCTGGCACTGAATTTTTAAAATAACTGTTCTTATTTTTAAAACAGTAACTTTAACTGTAATATATTAAGTAGAAGAAATGCACACAGAATTTTTAAAAATCTTGTCTGTGATGTCATCACCCAGCATTAACTATAGCTAACATTTAGTTGGAGTTCCAATAATTTTTCCGCATGAATATAATTTATAAATTGTGTTTGCACTGCCCAGACTTCTTTTTTCACTGACAGTTTAATCACAAACATTTTTTTTTCGTCACCATTAAATAGTCTGTAAACAGACTAAGACAGAATTCTTAAAGGTCTCTAAGAGGAAAGTCACACTTATTGACATGTATTTAGTAGTACAATATGTACTTAAAGGAAATCAATATCCACTATGTGCCAATTATTGTACAAACTCTTTGTACAATACTATATTATACAAACACTTAGCCAGAGTTAGTGATTAAAATTAAAGATAGAGATTTATTAACTGGCATGTCCTCTAGTGCATTTGAAATATGGCTAACTTCCTAAAAATTCAGCTCACACAATGTTTAGGACCATTCCTGTACATGTATAGCGTTTTAGAAAAAGTAGAAATACTAAAACATCCGAGCCTTAACTAAAGGGTCTTAACTAAATGCCTAATGAGTTGTAAGGAAATGCCCGAGTTCCCTGATCCACATGTACTGTGTGCACTGTGATTAAGGCTTGGAAAAGACTCTGTCTGCTTTCTAGATAGCTTAAAAAAAAAAACTTCAATATCCTTCTGTAGCCTCCTAGCCATTGGTAAGTCGAAATCAGAGAACAGGTAGAGATCATATTCTCCATCAATCTTCATTTTAGTTTATTTAGCTTATAGAAATAATTTCTAACTTACAAATGGTAGAAAGGAAATGGGGGCATAGTGGAAGGGTCTGTTGAAATCATGGTTCTTAAAACTTCAGTGTGCAAAATGGTTACTAGGATAGCTATTAGTAAAGATTCCTAGGCCCCATCTTCAAAGATTCTGGTTTAGTATATCAGGATAAGGCCCAGGAATGCTAATATCCTCATTGTCCCATTCAAATGTTGTGGAAGGAATTGCTTGTTTTGTCTTACTTGAAAGTTGTTTTTCTAACTCCTGAAATCACTTAAGTCTGTGCTCCTCAAACTTGGGCATAAGCCCCATTGGGGGTTCCTGACATTATATCAGAGGATGGGTGAAGTCATAAAATCAGTGTGATGTACCTTCCTGGAGTATCAGTTTTATGCAAAGATTTGAGAGTAGGAAAAAATATTTAAAATGTAACATGGAGCAGAAAGCAAAATTCACATGAATTTTTAAAATAAGGGACTTCGAGGAAATTTCCCAATTAGGTCTGTACCCCATACTACATTTACCTCCCATTACTGTCATAGGGCACCTTTGGTAGGACACCATAATACAACTATAACCCCTGAAAAATGCTCGTACAAACAACTAGTGGTATAAAAAGTGCAGATGAAAAGTGCCTTTTTAAAAAGATGATGTGAATGATTAAATAATAGTTCCTTACGCATGCTTTTTTCTTATTTAGCACAGCATTTCTATATTGCAGGTGAACTGTCTCATTGTGTTGAGCCTGAGCCATCTCAGGTGCCAGGTCACAGTTCTAGAGACCATCAGCAAGGTAAGCCCCCTCCTCTCCTGGCTCTAAAAGCTAAGACATTCTCACACTCTGGTCCATATACCACTGAGATAAGGAAGACAACTGATGATTCCATATCTAAAGTCCTAGACTGGTTTAACCGAAGTTCTCATTCAGATGACAACAAGTCATCCCTCCAACTTCCCCAAGGAATAGAGCCCGAAGAAAAAATAGTCTCAAAATCACAGGTCGCTATTGCCTTGGTGACAGATGACGATAGTCTAAAAGAAAATGGCTCAAAGGCCCTATCATCCACCAAAGATGAATTGAAGCCAGTGAGATCTGACTCAACACTTCAGGTAGAAGGAGATATGCTGTTTTCTGGAAATGGCCAAGATAATGATGTGGATGTCAAATCCAAATCTATGAATTTGTCCCAAAAAGGCACCCCAAAGGAAGACGTTGATATACTGCAACCATTTGAAAGCTATGGTACCCCAAGTCAAAGGAGTGAAAACATGGACTATAGCCAAGATTCAAAAAGCATAGGAAATGGGGTACCTCCTCCAGCCAATAACTATTCCTTCAGTATTCTTAAGGGATCTGATGCAGAAGACCAAGTTCCATGCAACACTAAGAATATCGGTAAAGAAGAACCCAAGCTTCATGTTCATGAAAAAAATAGAAGAGACTCAGAAGTGAATTTTGACTCTTCAACAATTTTCAAAGAACCAAATTTGAAAGACAACATGAAAACAGAGAGAAAGAGCAAAGGAGGAAATACTCACATCCTGAAAGCTTCCTTAGAGCCAGAGAATATTGAGTCACCACCTGGGGTTACCAACAATGGATCTCCTTGGAAGAAGCCTGAGGTCCAACTGCAACAAGAAGCTGGTGAGGTTCCCAAGAACCAAGTGCAAAGAGAGAAATACAAAAGAGTGAGTGAGAGAATATCCTTTTGGGAAGGAGAGAAAGCTGCCAAGTTAACTCATAAAGAGCCCACATCTTCAGGCAGCCTGGAACAACCTTCTGCTAAAGCATGTCAGCCTGTGAAGTCACAGAGTATGGCCACAGACAACTTATCTACAGGCCAGAGTGAATATAATTGGGTCACTGCCAAACGAGTGGTCCTACATGAGGATGATCAAGCACCCCCACTCTCTAGTTTTCCTTCCTCAAATAAACCTAGAGAGACCAGGCCCCAAATATCAGGTCCATCTAAAAACCCTCCTTCAGATGACCAATCAAGTAAAGTGTCTCTGTTTCAGAATAAGACAAATGAGCCTATAAAAAGAATGCCAGTGGCAGACAATTTGCATTCTAGAAAAGACATTACTTTACCAGCATTGCAACATCCCTCAAATGTTGGAAATGAAATATTTGCTCCTTTGGAGAAAGACAGACTTTTAGTTGGTGAATCAAATACTAACTTTAAAGTTATGTCACTAAAAGAAAGAATGGATGAATCCAATGCAGAACAAGTCTATAATAACTCTCAGTTTGAGAATTTGAGAAAGTTTTGGGACTTAGAAGCTAATCCAAACAGTAAGAATAGTGGTACGAAGCATACATCAACAGGTCAAAAAAATTCTATGCCTCTTAATAGCCAGAAACGCAAAGAATTCAGTGACATTAAATTATCAGGAAAAAATACCCATGAAGTAGAGGCACTTATAAGCCAACAAAAAGTTACAGCAAGAGAGGAAATGGAAAAATTAAACTCAAAGTGCATGCTCCAGGTGCTACCAGATGAAACCACATTTCCATTGAGACCACCTGGAGAGTCCACTGGTCAGTTGCCAGACCATGAGTCATCAATGGAAAACGTGGAAAAGAATACGGAATGGCTTGTTACTCCAGTGTTCAAGGAAGAAAAGGATTACTCAGACCCAGAGATTCAAGAATCTATAGTGAAAACAAACGTTTTGTCTAAAGACTGCAAAGACACTTTTAATGACAGCTTACAGAAACTACTTTCAGAAGCTTCATCACCAGCAATTCAACCTTCTGGTGGAAAAGTTCATGGAAAACTCGATCTCGCACCAAGTGTTTCTGAAAATAGGACATGGCCTCAAAAGACAGAGTTTGCTGATACTGAGGAAGAAGCCAAAGGACCCAAGAAGGTCACCGAGGACAAAACAGCCTCTCCTCCAAAGGTCACACAGAACACTTTGAGTGCTAGTCTGAAGGAAGCAGCTGGAACTTCACCCTCTCCCTTGCAAACCGAGTTGGAACCCATTACCACTAGAATCAACTCTGAGCCTGAAGAGGGTAGGTTTTTTGATAAAGGGATAGAACAGAGTCACAACACTTCAGCCTATCAGAGAGAGATCATAGCTACTTCTCCGGAGAGAGAGACAACTTTGGGAAATACAGCTCTCCCTCAGAAAGCTGAAAGTGGTGAGTGCCAGCTAAACACGGAGAACTTGCTTCAGATGGATGCAGAAGATTCTCACCCATTGGGTCAGCCTTCTCATCTTTACAGAAAGGGTTCTTTTGGGGATATGGCCAGCTCTCCCCAAGATATGTTTTTGCCCCAGGATGCTCATCTTGTTCCCCAGGATAGGGCACTGCCTTCTCAAAGGGAAATTTCAGAAACTATAGAGAAAGTTATTCTTCCACCCAAACCTCACTTGAATGATATAAATGCTGCATTACAGAAGCTGCATAGAGAAGCTTGGTTGAGTTATCCAGCTGGGAGGGAAGTAGCTCCTGAAGAAATGAAATCACAATTTTCTGAAGGAGTACAGGCAGCAGGTAGCCCCACAAATCCTCTGGGAGTGATCCCACCATGGGTTACAATGGATGCCATAGTTCCAGAAAGAAGGGATTTTTATTCCTTCAGTGCAGTTCCCGATAAAACTCATGAAGTTGAATCATATTTAGGTGCCCAGATGTCTCCATCAGAACAGACCCTTAGCTCATCTGGTTTCACTGTTGAGCAGTATGGCAAAGAGCTACCTCAGGAAGTGGCAGAAATTGTGAGGGCAACAATTATTCAACCCAAATCGGAGTTCCTCGAATTCAGTGCTGGCTTAGAAAAACTGCTTAAGGAAACAATTGAAGCCTCCCCCTCAAAATATGAAAGCGATACAGAAACCCTTTCTCCATCAAAGTTAATAGGTAGTACAAAGGAGCCCAGGAAAGCTGCTCTTGAATTCTGTCCTGAGGAAATAAAAGAAACAGTAGAAAAGGCTGAGGCTCCATCAATAACTGAGAGTGCTTTTGATATTGGTTTTGAGAAACTTCTTAAAGAAATATCTGAAGCTCCTCTTTATCAGTTCCAGGTGTCAGGGAAGGAAGAAACTCCCCAGAAGGAGCCCTCACAGTCAGAGCAGGCCAGGTGGTTAGGGGCAGTACCCCATTTTGACTGGGCAGCCTCGGAGGCTTCTGAAATCAAAGTTAAAAGTAATGGTTTGGAATCTCAAGTCAACCAATGTAATAAAGTATTGAGAGGAGATGAAGCTGTGACTGATTTATCAGTAGATCTTTGTGGTTCTGAAAGTAGGGTTGAAATTCCTGGAACCCCACAACTTTATGTGGATCATGATATAGAGACCATTAAAACTATAAAACCCTCAGGGGACAAGGATGATAAAAGTGAGGTTGCAGGGAGACAAGGGGCTTTGCAGGAACCTGGCTTTGAAGAGATTCCTGAAGCAATTAGTTTGTCCAGAAATAGGCAACCCATTCCTCTCCTGAAGAACAAAGAAAACCCTACAAAAACAAGTAAAATTGAATTGATTCTGGCATCACCATATGAGAGACAAGTGAAAGAGGAAGAAAAAGGTTTCTCTAACTCTGATTTTTCAGATGAAAACACCAGTTCTAACGTGGAAAGCTGGAAAAATACCTCCAGTGAGCATTTTAAAATTTTTAACTCATGATGAGTGTGCTTTATGGAATGCTGATGTAAAGGATGGTATTATTTTAATTGTGATAAAATTAATATTCCCAAATGGTGCTAAATTCTTCTCCAGTTCTCCTGGACCTTTCTTCATAAAATACATTTTATTTATATTCTTCAATCAAATGAGTTACATAGAAACAGCAAAGCTGTTTCATAGTCTGACTTCTCATTAATCTAGCTATAGAATTTTTAGATTTCCAAAATATTTTTAAATTAACTTTTTGAGTTTAGACAGAAACTTTAAAACATTTAAGCCAGTTTTTCTCCTGGAAATAATTAGAATTTCTTTGTTAATTGGCAGTCCTCACAGAAGTCTCTAGTAAGATTTGTGACAAGCAAGTGCCACAAATGGGCACAAATTTCCCATTAAGGAGCAATATTGTACCAGAGTGGTAGCTAAATACTGGGGACAAAGTACAAGGCTGGAAATTTCGTTTTCTCAGATTCTTGTGCTGTGATGTTTTTGTTGCCACTCTCCTCATCTCATTTTTAATTATCTGCAGAATCTTCCTGTTTTAGAGTATGACTTTGGTCAGATGACTTCACCTGATTCCACCTAAGGACTTTGCCTGGCCTGCTGCATGTCTTTGGTTTCAGCCTTGGCTAAGTTGATGAAGATCTTAATTGATCTCCACATTCATCTAAGTGGACTTAAGGGTACTGGTTTCAGCCAGACTGTAAAACGTAGGACTTGTTTCAGTTTGCTATTCAATCAGAACATGGGCATTTTAACAGAGAAACCTCAGAGCAAATAGGAATGAGAAGTTACCTGGTTAGAATGGTGAAATGGTAGAGGATGCTTTCTGGCTGGGACATTTTAACCAAAATTGCACAACTGGTATTGATCACCTTTCTTGTAGTTTAAAAGAATTTGTCATTTTCTAGCTCCCTTCAGTCTCAATGAAAATAGATTAGCTTTTCTGAGGGGCTTACTTGAAACGTTGGGGTTCCTCTATAAGTAGCTGTAGGGTCTCTTCTCGAACACTGACCAAAGAATCCACCTTTAATCCTGTATACTCAACTTGAAGACTCTTTAACAAATGTTGCTGATAAAAATTGGACATTGAAATACCAGTCTCTGAAACCAGACATATAGAAAAATAAAGCCAGCATGTAAAACTTGCTGTGGTAGACTCTTACTAAATTGGCCCATGAGTTACTAGAGTAAACCAACCCATAGGAGGAGAAGGGCTTGCAAATTTGCACTTACTGTAGGGACTATCACCTTATATGAACAGCCATACTAATAGTACACCAGCATAACTGATTGAACATCAAAAAGCCTATCTAAAAAAGAAATAATGTTAAATAATCATGTAGATTTAACTTTCATTATCTCTGTAAAGAAAAAAATAAAAAATAATCACCTAGACAGAGCCCAAAGAAGATATTTTAAAATTATAAGACTATTAAGAGGTGTAAAATGGCCCATTTGTGGTTTTATATACTTTAATATGAATTATTATTCTGTAACAAACTATAGTGAGGATAGGGTAGAGTTGGAAAAGAACCTAACTACAAGGGTACTATAATCTTGGGAATCTTGTGGCTGATCTTTTAACCAACCAATACCTCAATTTACTCTTTTAGGAGAAAACAAAAAGAGGTCCCATGGTCAAATACTTTTGGAAATGCTGGGAGATTATACTCATTATTAGCATATTAAAGTCTTTGAGAAGGTCTGCAGTAAGAAACCTTTTAAATTTGAACAAAGAACATCCCAAATCTAATTCATCTTAGAATACATATGCTGTGGAATGCATATTAGCATTAGGCAAAACTGGTATGCATTTCAGAAAATTATTGTCTAGAGAAGTGTTTCTTACTAATAAATTTGTTCATTCAGGAATTGAATCATTCATTGATTCAGCAAATATTTTTGAATTGCTCATTGCCAGCCCCTGTTCTAAGCACTGAGAACACAACAGTGATAAATGTCAATGTCAATACTCAGGCCTGAGTTTATCCATGAAGGGGTTGTCAAAATCGAAAAATTAAGGACTGTATAGGGGTTTGTTTTTGTAAAGTTAGATGTGTTTAAGAACTGTTCTTATTCTGAAGTTATGCCCTTTTTCTTTTGGTTCTAAAATGCCTTTCCTTTTATAAAATAAAGGCATTAGTAAATGATAGAACCCCCTCCCCCCCGCCCCAACACACACTCTTTAAAACGTCTTACTAAAATAAAAAGTTGACTATCTCATGTTATTTCCCAACATTTCATTGGAAATTTTACTAGATCATGAAACCCAGAAAGCCTACAACCACTGATCTGGAGAACCCACCCATCTTTGTACCCAATTATACACATATGTTAAACATCTGAATCCTGTCTTCCATGGTTTTCAGTGAGATTTTTTTTTTCCCCAATGCTTCTAAAATCATTTCATGGCTGTCTTCAAAAGCTAGAATGTTAAGTGGGAAGATTCAAAGTCTGGCACAAAACAAATGTGCCTAAAATAGAGGTGTAGACAACTAAGATATCATATTTCTATTAATGTGGTAATCTTATTTCAATATTGCTTATGTTTATGAATATTGGTTTTAAAAGGGCATATTAATAGCGGTAAAATATTTTTCTGTGAAGTAAGGGCTTCTTAGAGTACATAAAAGTAGGAAGGCTTATGTCATAACATCTCCTTTCAACCTACCATTTCAACCATTTCAATGTCCATTTGTTAGAGGGTTTTTTCTTTTTGTATCGTGCAGTGTTCATCGGTTTTGTCTTATAACAGGTTCAGAAGAAGAACCCAGTCCTGTTTTGAAAGCTTTGGAAAGGAGTGCTGCTAGGAAAATGCCTTCCAAAAGTCTAGAAGACATTTCATCAGATTTATCAAGTGAGAATAAAGTTTGCTCCACTGTTCAATGCCCGTCTAAGTTTTAAAAGGCGTATGTGTCCTGTGGCCTCGCTGCATGCTGTTGTGCATTGAAACCCCTAATGGGGGGATTAATAGATGAGAATAACCTTTCTGATGTGTGCTGAAGAGGCTCAACATAAAGCAGCTGAAACTTTTGAAATAATGCATGAAGTTTGGTTACCAGAACACTAGGTTTCCTTGAATTTAAGAACCCCAGTTTGAGTGTTTACTCAAGTGCAGTGAGTTTTAAAGGATTGTGGTAACTAGTAATACTAGGGAACATAGTAGTAATAGCTAACATTTATTGAGTATTACTTGCCAAAATGTGGCTAAGGATTTTACATGTACTATCTCATTTAACCAGCATAAGCAATCCCCTGAAAGATGAATTATTGTTATCCTCGTTTTATAGATGAGGAAAATGTGGCTCACAGTAGTGAAATAACTTGTTTAGTATCACACAGCAGACCCAAGACTCAAAATTAACAGACTACTATCAAGAGCATTTACGAAGGGACCATGTTATATGTGACAGTGTTGGGTGTCTGATGGATTTCACTTGATAATGGAGTTGAATTCATCCCCGGATTTAAGAACTTTCCTTTTTCTTTTATCCCTTGTTTTCTATTTACACATTAGAAATGCACACATGCAGCTGGTCCCCAGTTACATCTCTTCAGTTGACTTCCCAAGCAAGCCTCCCAGAGACAAATGCAAACGATGATGCACACACACAAATATTTGTTAATGACCGTGGGCTCGGGAAGGTGTTAGTCATGACTAGCATCTTATCCTTCACAGAAGAATAGAGAGGCTGTTGCAGCCCTGTGCTTTCTCCTGCTGCTGGCCGATTGCTTGCTCTGAGCTAACATACCAACCCTTGGGAGTCAGTGTGCAGCAGTGTGGATTTCTTTTGGATACTGGAACTATAAGCCCAAAGACAACCTAACATGCAAGACTTTAGGCACATTATTCCCACTAGCTGCTGCTTTAATTGGTGGAGGACTTCTTGAGCACTAACAGAAAACATAATGTGTAAAGGGACTGTGTGGCAGACAAATGGACTTAGAAACTTTGACTTCTAGGAGTTTTGTTCTTACTGTTTTTAAGCTAAGATACATCCCTGGGATTGCAGATGGTTATGAGAAAAATTATCAAGTGACAGTTAACCACTGCCAAACTCATATGATTGATCATAATTGACCATTGTTGTGTTTAGAATACGTTTTATGCATCTGTTATTGAGACTCAGAAGTCAGAGTTTAGAAAGGGAAAGAAAAAGCCACTCCATCAAACAATTTCTAAAATTCAGAGATTCCCAGGGCTCTGAAGACAATAATCCTGATTTGGAATGCAGTCTTAACCCTTCTGATGATCTTGGAATCTTAGAGTTGGAAGGGACCTTGAAAGTCACCCATTTCAGCCTCCCCCCAATGCGGGAATTCCCTCTAAAGCCTCCTCAACAGGTGGCCAACCCCCACAGCCGCCTGAATACTTCTAGAGAAGGCGAGTCCAATCCTTTGTTGAGCAGCCCCAATTATTCTTCCTTATGTTGGTGATGGGCCCTGACGGAAAAAAACAAAAACAAAAAAAACCCCTCAGCAACAATTGTTCAATTTAGCAAACCTCTTGCCTGTGAAGCATGGTGCTATTTCCATGGTGCAGCTTTAAAGTACTCAGGAATGTGTAGGGTTAAAAAAAAAAAAAAGAAAGAAATCACCATCAGCTGACCGGTATTTCTGCACGCTCCTTTCTAAATACCGATACCCACTCTCACACTAGCCTGCCAAGATTCCACTTAGCAGCTGGTCCCCAGTTACATCTCTTCAGTTGACTTCCCAAGCAAGCCTCCCAGAGGCATATGCAAACGATGATGCACACACACAAATATTTGTTAATGACCGTGGGCTCGGGAAGGTGTTAGTCATGGCTAGCATCTTACCCTTCACAGAAGAATAGAGAGGCTGTTGCAGCCCTGTGCTTTCTCCTGCTGCTGGCCGATTGCTTGCTCTGAGCTAACACTCCAACCCTTGGGAGTCAGTGTGCAGCAGTGTGCTGATGTGAGCTGCATCAGGGCTGAAATGGGAGCTCTCGCTATGGCACTGGCTCAAGTAGCTAATCTAAAGAGAAAGTATTTTGGGGACGACATCTTGGTTGCACCCCTCACTGCATCTTGACTAATTGCTTCCAACTCCGGGGGCTTCCAGGGACAACCTCATTGTTCTTTTCTCTCTAAGGGTCAGCCATGTTAACCATTTGTTAATTTCTCCTGAACAGATCAAGCAAAAGTAGATAATCTGCCAGAAGAATTAGTACGTAGTGCTGAAGATGGTAAATATCTTTATGTATTTGCATGTCTGTCTGTGTATTAAGTTCTGGGGTGATTTGGGCAGATTCCGGGATGCAGCTGTTGGATAAATAAAAGAACGTCATTTGCCACTATATGTGCTGAATAGTGCCTAAGTTGTTATAAAACGATTCTGACTTGGTGCATTTAATACTGTTTATATTCTTAAGGCTTCTGCTGGTGATACTGTTGTGAGGATCTCATCAGAGATCCTTAGGAAGCAAAGGTTTCTATAAATAGGAAATTGTATCTCTATGGGTATGAGCTGATTTTTGCTGCTCTGACTTGCAGAACTCATTGTGAGTGAGTGGAGTGGGTTCCTGGGTTAAGTTATTCCTGTGTTTGATTCTCAAGTCTCAACGTTATTTAGATCTCTCTGGGTACAACTGGTAAAGCCTTAAGTTCAAAGGAAAGGGTCCCAGAACAAGGGCAGAGAACCCTGCTTCTGCTTATGTAAATAACTAAGTATAGACTGAGGGTAAATTTGAGTCTGAATATAATGGAGTAGGAAGATCTTGAAGCTTGTCAGTGGATCAAGTATTACTTGGTTCAGTCATAAAATGAACAGGATAATAGTTCCTTGGTAGGGGGAGGAATGGAAATGACTGTGATTTTTATAGTTCAGAATTTATGCAAATGTATAATTTATATTTGAATGCTGGATTTTTTTTTTTTGCTGAATTACCTTCTCTATAAAAATGCATACTCACTGAGCTTTCCCATATAAATGCAGCAACAGAGGTCCTCAAAGGTCATTCTTTTATGTAATGGTTTTGTCTTTCTCGTTTTATATTTACAGTGACCTCATTGAAGTTGATGGGGCAGGGATTTTTATCTTCATTTTGGAGATAAAAGCTCAGAGAAATTAAATGACTTTTCTAAGATTCTATAGCTAGTCTGTTAGTGGAAGGACAGGGAATAGAATCTCAGCTTCATTACTCCTAGTCCAGTGCTCCTTCCCATTTTCCATGCTGTGGTTTAGTGAATTAAACGAAAGATGCCACATACTTCCTTTGTTGGATCTTAGATATTTAGTTGAACAGGAGACCTTAAAGAGGGTAATGAAGAGTCATATTGGGGAATGTATGAAAGCAAGCTGAAAACCTGGACAAATATATTCTGCTCTTTCAGTTGTTAAACTGACATTTGAGCTTTACTTTCATGTCTCTTTAATCCTTCTGTTAAAATGGTATTTATTCTCAATGTTGCCCTCCTGAGTAGATCAAAAAGCAGATCAGGAACCAGATACAAATGAATGCGTACCAGGAAGTGAGTAGCAGGATCTTTCTCACAAATGACTAAATGTTCTGCTCTACAAAGTGTTTATTAAATATACTGAAATAACTAACCCTATTAATAATGCAGCATTTATTATTGCTACTAAACTCCTGCAGCCTGCAAAACTATTTCATTATGATAAGGGTTTTTAAAAATACATTTTACTATTGTCTGTGTTGAAAGAATAATTTATGGTTTCACTGAAGGAGAGTTATATGTTAAATATATATAACATATATTTAACATATAAATGTTACTGCTGAGTATTGTACTTTTGTCAGTTTCTCTGCTTTTTAAGTCTTTGCTTAAAATCAAGTTGGCACCTTCTAATTTCATTTGTTACAGTATGGTCTTGAGTATTAGATCTCTTGTGGCCTCTATGCAAAACTGTAGATACGAAGCAATTTATAACTTATTTGAACCTAAGAAAGAACTGTACTTTGACAGTATGTAATATGGTTGTATATGTTTCTCGACATTTCTATAAAAGCAAATTTTATGAAGCCCAGGGTTTAAACTCTGAGATTCCAAACTGGACTCAAATAGTAAATATTCATGTTGAAAGTCTAAAGCAAGTGAACATCTGAATCTAAGAAGTAAATGTACACTTGTGATAACGTCCACCAACTAATTAATATCCATTACCAAGCAAAGATAATGTTTGTTTGTTCTTTCCTGTTCAGTCTTAAAATTGTGCTACTTAGCTGTGACTACTATCTTAAGGACAAATAATGGATCAAAAAGGTGCTTATGGGGCCTAGCAAAGCATGCGGGAGTGTGTGTGTGTGTGTGTGTGTGTGTGTGTGTGTGTGTGAGATTTCCTAAGCTTAGCTTCCTGGTTTCACTTGATTTCATAAACCTAGGCACTAGAGCTAAAAAGATAATGTTACATATGCCTACCTCAGGTCCACCATATCTGTAATAATTTCCCATTAGTCTTTGGATGTGCTAATAGGCCTTAGGAGAACAGCTAAATAAAGGAGCCATTAGACGGAGAAAAAAATGTGCTGATGATGCTACAAGTCGGTGACATGTAGAATGAAATCTGAAACTTTGTTCATGAGGTCCTCCTGCTAGCAGGAAAGGTGCTGAGCTTTGGCACATGACTTGACAAATTCTTAAGAACTACCAAGGAAAGAAGACAGTCCAGGCTCTGGCCCTTGAGCATACGTGCTGTCTGCTGCAAAGGAAACGAGACTTCTGCCACTGAGGGGTGTTAGAGGCTTTTACAGTTGCTTTTGAACTGGTATATGCTTTAGTCTGGGCATCTTATTTTATCTTGCTATATTTTCTTCAAAATTTAGCCTGAGGAGTAAAAGCAAAACATACATAGACATACATGTCTATATAATCTGTATCCTCATTCATGACCTCCTAATTGGCTTAGTTATTGGTCAAGGCAAACGGGCTAATCATGTGCTGAACTCTGAGTAAATTAATTTCTCTCTTTGTAGTGATGTTTTCCAAAATGACTGTTAGTGCCATTTTACTAGTAAAGAGTATATTCTTATCATAAAAATCAAATACATGATCATAAACCATAAATCACTAAAGCCCATAAATCTAATATTGACTGCATTCAAATAGAGGGTATGATTGAAGTTGACCCTTATAACATCATCTAACAATACACTTTGAAAATAATAGGGAGCGATGTTATAACAAAAAAATGTTTGCATTATTATTGGACCATATTGTGGGACTTAGTCTTACCCTGCTAATATAACTCACCCCATACATGCTGATACACACACACACACAATTGTTTAATGGGAAGTGATTAAGGTGGGTATCATTTTAGCGAGACACCGTAAGGATATTCTGGTGTACATTTACCTTTGTGAGCCGAAGGCTGTGTGAACAAGGATATATTTTATTTGTGTAGCTCAATTTTCAGTGTTTTTTTTTGTTTTTTCCATTAGATTTCTTTTAACTAAAGATGAATTTAGCTAATGTTTAGGACTGGATTTGGGTGTTTTGACTCATACATAGAAATATGATTTGATTTTTATCTATTTTCCTAATATCTCTTTTAATGATAAAGCCAAGCTAACATATTTATATATGTTCATGATATAATTTAAAGATTCAGATATTTATTTGATTTGAAAATACATATACAGAGCTTACTATGTGCCAGGCACTTTTCTAACTGCCTTGAAACGTTAACTCATTCGTTGTAAGAGCTCTGATTCACCATAAGAAAAGCTTAGACGTCACAATTCTCAGACCAAGGAAACAGTTTTCTAACTAGAGATATGCAAATTAGGATTAGAATTTATCCTCATATTGTGCCTTCCACATATACTTACTTTTTTTTTTCACACATATACTTTTTATATCAGAAAGAAGACTTTCTATATTATAAAGGAGACATATGCTACATTTTCATATTAAATTCTTAGAATACCCTAACTTGAACCATTCTAAGTTGGCCTGGATGTATTGAAAATTCTTTGAGTCAACGGGTATCTAATTTCTATTTTTGAAAACTAAATTTTAAATTTACTCTTTCATAATTCGGAGTAAGAAACACTATCAGAAAAGTAATCCCTATGATCACCAGACAAACAAACCTACTCTTAAACATTCAATGATGAGGACACTTTTATTATTGAGTTGTGTGCAAAAATCTTTACCGTCCAGATGAAATAGTTTTCAGCCTGCAGCATGTTAGTAATATATCTCAGGGAGATGAACCAACAAATTACCTTGTGGTTTGAAACTGTGATGTGAAAAAATAAATTAAACCAATGCACATTGACAGTATACTTTAATTAAAGTCCCGCTCCAGTTCAATAAAAACTAGTGTTTTTAAAATTAATCTTCATTTAAATTTTGTATTTGGTTCAACTCCTTGCTAATTCTCTTTATATATAATTTCTCAAAACTGCATGTTGTTTACCTCCCGATCCTATGCATGTGAACTACCGTACCTTTAACCTTTTTACAAAATATGTCTGTTCATAGATGAAAGAAAAGTGTTTTCAACTTGTGCCTAATGTTGTCTGACAATTGTAAGAATAATTTTGAAATGGAAATGCTGCTGTTTAGTTTCCACAGTGCCTGCACAACCTGATAATCAGTTTTCCCACCCTGACAAACTCAAAAGGATGAGCAAGTCTGTTCCAGCATTTCTCCAAGATGAGGCAAGTTTGTCTTTTGTACCTTCAGAAAAATGGAGCCGGATAGGTGGACTTGCTATGCCATGCTTGGTATGTTTGTATTCTGCTCTGGCAGAGACCAAACAGGTCAGCAGGACTGACCCTTGCCTTCCAAGTCAATAGAGGCAGTATTGTTGATCCTGGAACAAGGCAAGGCAGGTCTCATTTGACTCAAACAGTAACTCTTTTTGATCAGTGAAGTGAAATTGCATAGATTTGGGAATATGATTTTTATTTCAAAGCAAATACAAAATAAGAAATCTAGGCAGAAATATGTTGGCATGAATTAATTACACCTCTGCAGTTTGAAGGAGAGTTCATTTGTGAAAGCTTAGTCTAGGTTGCATGACTAGCTTGAAAGCATTTGTTAAAATAATAAGATATAATGACACAGCACACTTTGAGTATCTACTCGGTGCCAGGCACTTTACATATATTACCTCACTTAATCCTTCAACAACCCTGGAAGGTAGGCACCATCACTATTGCCATGTATTACAGGTGAGGAAACTGAAACTAAGAGGTAAAGTAACCTCACTCAGCTAGAAAGGGGACTGAAACCCAGATCTGACTCCCATGCTGTTAACCACTATACTGTAGTGTCTCAAGAACATGACTGGTATCTAGGTGCTATTCATTGAGTACCTAGTATGTGCCAGACACTTAATCATTCTGATATCCAACTCTCACTATATGTGGTAGGTACTATCTCTCCATTTTATAAAATAAGAAAGAGCTTCAGAGAGGTTAAGTATCTCTCCCAGAATATAACAGCTACTAAAAATGAGATCTGAGACTTTTTTTTTTTTTTTTGAGACAGAGTCTCGCTTTGTTGCACAGGCTAGAGTGAGTGCTGTGGCGTCAGCCTAGCTCACAGCAACCTCAAACTCCTGGGCTCAAGCGATCCTTCTGCCTCAGCCTCCCGAGTAGCTGGGACTACAGGCATGTGCCACCATGCCCAGCTAATTTTATATATATATTAGTTGGCCAATTAATTTCTTTCTATTTATAGTAGAGACGGGGGTCTCGCTCTTGCTCAGGCTGGTTTCGAACTCCTGACCTCAAGCAATCCTCCCGCCTCGGCCTCCCAGAGTGCTAGGATTACAGGCTTGAGCCACCGCGCCTGGCCGAGATCTGAGACTTTAACTGAGGTCCTTTGACTTAATTAAGATCTCATGTTCTTACAGTGAGGTATTTAGGAGCCTGAGATTTGGAGCCAGACATTCCCCAGTCCTGGCTATGATACTAATTTTCTCTGTGATCGTGGACAAAATCTTTACCTTCCCTAAGTCTGGTTTCCTAGAACCTACCACATTAGGTTTCAAGGAATCAGTGGGGTAATGCAGAAAAAACACACAGCACAGTGCCTGGTGCATAGTGGTACCTGGTTAAGTGTTAGTTGCTACTATTTGTGGTTTTGGTCTGATTTCTGATGGTGAAATAAAAGGTTTCATTCTCAAGCATTCTTTTAGCAGATGAAATGTTAAAATCTTCGGGCCCGAAGCTTTCCTTAACATAAATTACATTCCCCCACCCATACACACTGTCCTGGGCACCCTTCTATCCATTCTTGGCCCTTTAATGAACCATATCTGCACATTTTCAGCTCTTGTATATGTTTAAGAACCCACATTACAATTTCCTTTGGAAAGAATCACTCATTCTTTGGAACTAACTCATTAACTGGAAGCCAAGGATAGGCACCCCATGAAGTTCCTGTGGTTTTTTATCTTTGTAGATCTGCCATGGTCTTAGGTGATGATATGAATGAACCTTAAAACAGTTTGAGAGCAAATTATGTCAGTTTCTAGGTTTTTATCTTTCTCCTCCCTTCAGTTTTAGCTTGCTGTCTCACAATTCTGCACAGAATAGTTCAAATCGTTTGGGTTTGTGTACCAAAGATGCCAGAATTCAGTTTTATCATTTTGCATGGAGTGCATGAGGTTTTTGGGTACTAAAGGAAGTAGAAATGAAATCAGGCCTTGTTCACTTGTCCACTGTCCCTTTGAGGCTGATCATCAGTTAAATTTGTCAAATGCCAGTTACATGAAAAACACTGTTCCAGATCAACAATACAGGGTCCCATCCTTCCAATGATTCCCTAATGATCTGATATACTGGGTAAAATATAGAATGTACAATAACAGAGGGAAATGAATTGTAAGTAAGTGGAGAGAGAGTGTGACAACACAGATATTTAAAAGGTATGTATTTTTTTAATCCTTTTCTCATCCATGTGAGTCATTTATTTTGTTTTTCTTTAACTCTTTTATTAATCTGCATTACAATTGTCACCCATTATATTGATGCATAATTGCATGGTGCTGGAATATGCTGGCATGAACTAACTACTCCTCCATAAAGGTGTTCTCTAACCCCTGGAGCCACTGAACTGCTCCATAAGCTCTCTAACCCCCAAAGGAGCTCATTCTGAATCATGAATTTTTAAAGCTACTATCTAATAAACTTCAGATCTAAATATAATAAAATTTGCCACTTTTCTTTCTTGTCCCAGGTAAATATTTCCTGAGACATATTTAAAATAAGTACCTGTATCATATAGCTAATTTTTTTTTTTTTTTTTTTTTGAGACAGAGTCTCACTTTCTTGCCTAGGCTAGAGTGAGTGCCGTGGTGTCAGCCTAGCTCACAGCAACCTCAAACTCCTGGGCTCAAGCGATCCTCCTGCCTCAGCCTCCCGAGTAGCTGGGACTACAGGCATGCGCCACCATGCCCGGCTGATTTTTATATTATATACATTAGGCCAATTAATTTCTTTCTATTTATAGTAGAAATGGGGCTTGCTCCCTCCCAGAGTGCTAGGATTACAGGCGTGAGCCACTGCGCCCGGCCCATATAGCTAATTTTTTAAGAAATGTGTTAAAATCTAATGTGAGAGCCAGGCATCGTGGCTCATGCCTGTAATCCTAGCACTCTGGGAGGCTGAGGCAGGTGGATCCTTTCAGCTCAGGAGTTCGAGACCAGCCTGAGCAAAAGTGAGACCCTGTCTCTACTAAAAATAGAATGAAATTATCTGAACAACTAAAAATATACAGAAAAAATTAGTCAGGCAGGGTGGCACATGCCTGCAGTCCTAGCTGGGGAGGCTGAGGCAGAAGGACTACTTGAGCCCAGGAGTTTGAGGTTGCTGGGAGCTAGGCTGATACCACAGCACTCTAGCCAGGGCAACAGAGTGAGACTCTGTCTCAAAAAAAAAAATCTAATGTGAGTAGAATGTATAATTTATTATAATTCCCTATAGCAACAAAAAGATAAGCACAATAAAACTATAGAAATAAATAAGAGGTGGTTTAACATTTTAAATACATATATAAAACCAACCTGTTGTTGAAACAGATCAGATTAGCATTTCTTTTTCCTAATTTAACAACATCTCAAGTAAAAGATTTGATTTTTAGAGAAGCAAAAGTTATGTTACTAATAAGAGGAATTAAGCATGACATTTAATGTTTTGACAGACCTTAGACTTTCATTGTCTGAGTAAAGTTAACTTCTCATATATATCAATAAAGTTCTCCAGGTGACAAAACTATGTAATATTAAAAGAGTCACAAAGAGCTCACAATAGTACTGTCTTCTGTAGCACCTTAGGGGCCACTTTGTATGTCAAAAAAATCACTTTGTTATTTTGGTAGCTAAGCCAGCCCTCCTCCTTAGATGAGGTCCAATCACCTCCCACTGAGGTCCAGATCTCCCACTCCATCCGGAATCCTATTGGCAATTAGCACTAGTGTCTTTTGACCTGGGGAAATGTCATAGATCAGTGAGATACCAAAATATTATCTTTGTCTAAACGTTGTTTCTGACTGTAACTCATTCTGAATTTAAATACTATGCATATTATATGATGTTTTGTAGAGTGATGACAGAGAAACAGATACAGCATCAGAAAGCAGTTACCAGCTCACCAGACACAAGAAGAGCCCGAGCTCTTTAACCAATCTTAGCAGCTCCTCTGGCATGACGTCCTTGTCTTCTGTATGTAAAACAAAGGCTCCATGTTAATATCTCTCCACATCTCTGAACCTCTCTCTGACATGCTTATGCTCATTGTAAAACAGCCTCCTGTTGTATTTCTCAGATTCCAGGTGCACAAGCATTTTCTCTAATTCATAATTAGCTTCTGGCTAACTAAATCCTCCTTTTTCCCTTTCACTTTTTTCTTTTTCTTTGTTTTTAAGAATATAATGGCTCATATCCATTTGTGGGTTTTTTGTATGTAAGTACTTCAGAAATAAACCTAAATTGCCAGCAAGAAGAACCACTACATTTTTCTGTGCAAAAATTGAGTTAACTATTGTAAAATCTGCTTATATCAGATATGCTTTTGTGTACTGCTGGCAGGCATAGAATTGTACCTCTCTTTTAGTAAGCCTAATGAATAAATGTACTGATTCACATAAAAGAATGAGAGGTGATTTTTTGCCTTATAGAAGAATGCAGAACAGCGTTTTAAAAGGAAAACTCCCCAAGTATAGCTACTCAGATTTGATTTAAGAGAACTTAATAAATTTGACTTTACATAGAACTTCTTGTGTAAAGTGAGGTAGTTGTGTGTACATGTATAATAGTATGTGTGTAGAAATATATATGTAAATATATCCACATATACTTATACAAATATTTCTCTGATATACATACATTATCTCACCAGGTATGCTAAACAAATTATAAAGCTGTGCTTAAATTCTTACTAGCCTTGCAGTTCTGAAAACTTAAAAAAAAATCTATTTAAATTGAGTTTCTGCTGATAACAATCTAATGTCTGCCCTTGGGGAGGCTTTAAATTCCCTTTATCAGTCATCCATTTTCTACCCTTCCTGATCTCTAAAAGCTCCTGGCTTGGTAAGCATTTCCTTAGATTCAGTGGATAGGTAACATGGTAAAATTCCTTTTTAGTGCCTTGGAAATTTGATAGAGCAATGTGTCACTGTGATTTGAGTGTCTGGGTTCTCACATCCTCTTTCTTTAGGATACTAAATCCTAAGCATGCCTAAAAATGGAAATTTGAATGCCATCTAGCATAAAGTCACCCTGCTTTTGAAATGAACCAGCATCTAAATAACTTTGCATTTCACTTTTCATCTATGTCTTACAGGGGAAATTAAAAAAAAAAAAAAAAAACTCTAGTCATGTATATCATGACAGGTTGTCTGTGTTGACATGTCTTTATGCTGTATTAAATTAACTGCTTTTATATGCAAGCTAGAGAAATAATGCCAAGCAAGAATTATATCAATGATCCTTTTGCTGGGTTCAAGAATGAGATAGAGACAAACATTATATATTTCTGATGATTACAGGTGAGTGGCAGTGTGATGAGTGTTTATAGTGGAGACTTTGGCAATCTGGAAGTTAAAGGAAATATTCAGTTTGCAATTGAATACGTGGAGTCACTGAAGGAGTTGCATGTTTTTGTGGCCCAGTGTAAGGATTTAGCAGCAGCAGATGCTAAAAAACAACGTTCAGACCCGTAAGTACATTTTGGAGTCACCTACTTTCTTTTAGTTCTCAAAACTGTTGATCTTGTAGGAATTGGGAAGGAAAGAAAGTAAACAAAGGGCGGGGGGTATGTTTATGACTGTGTTCAAAGGAATGTTTGAAAAGTTGGGGGGAAATGCTATTTACTTTATTTACTTAAATTCATATGCCAAACATTAAATTATAAAAATCACAGAGAAACACAGAATGTTTTAACTTGGAAAGGACATTTGGGGTGATCTAGTTCCAGTGTTTTCATCTTATACATAAGGAAACAAGGACCAGAGAAGATAAGTAATCCATATATGTAAATTCAGATAGCCTCAAAATGAGGAATAAGAGCTTGAACCCCTGTATCTTTCTAGCATACTCAAACTTTTTCTAAAATTAGGGACATGTGGGGCATAGGTCATAATGTTCAGTGGTATAAAAATAGTTAAGATTCTAGAATGAAGCAGTTTCCATTTTAAAATCTTATAGAAGAACTTTAGGGGAAATTACTAATTTATTTTTTAAATCACAGGTTGACTGCATTTTAGTTTATTTCCAAAAATTGAGTGGTATTTCCTACTTATCCCTATGCAGAAGTCACATTTTAATTATTTTCTGAGATAAGCCCAATCCTTTTTTCTTTTATTCTTATTATAAAAACAGCCGAGGTCAACATCCTTTATTTTTTAACATTAAATCTGGCTTAATTAGGAGTATGCTAAGATTAATTTTTTCCAAAAGACAGTAACAAAAACTTTTAAAAAAATACTTAAAAAGTACTTCAGGCACCAGAGCCTTTTCTCAATAGGAAACAAAGCAACATAATTAGCTCTATATTGGAGATCTGTTTTCTGCTCCTTCCCATCCCTACATATTAATTAAAGCCAAAGGAAAAAAGGAACTTCAAAACAATATTAAATGATCAGTTTCATGAAAATCCCTCTAAATGTTTAAGTATAAAGGTGTTTGTGGGAAGGAACATTTGTTACTGCTTTTCTCAGCATTGTCAAATAATTATTTCTGCTGTCAGGTTTCAATGAATTTTTAAAAGTAGAGGTGGAAACATTACTTTTATCTTCTGAATTTTTTTTTTCTGTTCAATTCTCTTTTTTAGATATGTGAAGACCTATTTGTTATCAGACAAAGGCAAAATGGGCAAGAAGAAAACACTTATAGTGAAGAAAACCTTGAATCCTGTGTATAACGAGATACTGCGGGTACCTATGAGCTCTCTGGGAAAATTCTAAAAAGTGACCTATGCATTTAAATAGCCATGTCTTCTTGAGTAATATTTCTGCAGGATAAAGTTAGTTACCAAGATGGGAGAAGGAAATGAATAAAATGTTCTGAGACTCTATTTTGTATGACACAGTGCACCACAAATATCATATACATTATCTCATTCCTTCCCCATACATACCCTGCCAGGCCAGCATTATCTGCCACCCTCACAGATGAGGCAAATGAAGCTTAGAGAAATAAAGTAACTTGCTCAAGAATACACTGCTGATAAAGTTGAGCATTGCAACCAGAATGATCTAAAAGCACAATTCTGATCAGGTTCTGCTTAAAATCTTTTAGAATCTCCATTACTCCTGGGACGGTCAAGTCCATCTTTTTTAACATGCACACTGGTTCCTTCTTAACACTTAGGGGTAAAGGTTGTCCTTTGCCCCTAAGTGTTCCTGCGGTCTGCTGCCTCAATAACCTTGCTTTATAATAGACTATATTTAACACTCAGCACTTTAGTCATTTAATTGTCTTCCTTGTCACTAAATTGTAAGTTCCATGAAGGCAGGGACCAACTCTGTGTTGTTTTTAAACTGTGTGCCTTTGGACAAATGACTTAACATGTCTACACATCAGATCTGCAAAAGAGGGATAGTGGTAGTTTTTGGATCTGCAAAAGGGAGATGATAATAGTTCTTATTTACCTGCCTCAGTAGTTGTGAACGTTAAAAGAGTTAATATGGATCAATAAGGATTAGCACACATTAAACATTTAATAAATCTTTATTCTTAGTCTAGGATAGGCACTCAAAAGATGTTTATTGGAAGGATAAATGTGTGGACAAATGAATGGAAAGTATACCTGGCTCATATTCCATTTCTTCCCACAAACTGCATCATGCTGTCTTAGTCATGACTAACATTATATAAAACTAAAAATATAAGTGTTGTTAATCCTCTTTTTCTGAAAACTCTGTTCCAAGTATTTGATCATCCTCTGGAAAAAGAAGCAACAATTAAATCAACTCTCAGTCATCCATGGGTGAATTCACTGCCTGTGGATTTTCTATAGCAAGTTTTAAATTACTGTTTGAGTAAGATAGACCTTAGAACCATAGCTATTTCTGTGTCAGCTACTTCAACCCTACACTCAGGAAGAGCCAGCTAATTTAAATGGTAAACTCAGAGAAAGGCAAGTCTGCTACAACCAAAATGGACATTCAAGTAGTACATCATAAAACCAAATGGAGATTATTTTTAGATTAGAAGTACTATTATCCCTTCCACAAATACATATAATCAAGGATTGACTACATTTGAGATGAAAAACTGTTAAAATGCCAGATCTTTTCTACTTGACCATATGAAGCAGAAAAAAACAAGTTTATCTTTTTTTTTTGGAAAAATATCCTGTTCTTGTAGAATGCAGATAGGGAGGGAAGTGTGCTCTCTGTTCCATTTTGCTGTGAACCTAAAACTGCTTTAAAAAATAAATTCTATTTTAAAAAATACCTTGTTCTTAGGTAGAAAACAGATAACTTGATTTTTATTTTTAGACTGAATTTGATTCATGTTATATCTAGACTAAAAATATCCAGCAAAAATGGAATACTTGGCTTTTGTTTTTAGAGAGCTATTACGAGCTATGATATTTGAGCTTTGGTTTGCTTTTCCAGAAAGGGGAAGAAAATCAGCTTTGTAAAAGATGGATTTGGACTCTTTGAAATAAGACACTTAGAATAGATGACTTTGCAATATTTTTGAGACTTGAAACCTAACAGATAAGAAAATCTGATCTACACAAAATGACTTTTCGTCTCTCTGTCATAACTTTGGCATAAAGTAATGTTATTTATCATTCTAATTTTCTTCTTTGAACTTCAGTATAAAATTGAAAAGCCAATCTTAAAGACACAGAAGCTGAACCTGTCCGTTTGGCATCGGGATACATTTAAACGCAATAGTTTCCTAGGGGAAGTTGAACTTGATTTGGAAACATGGGACTGGGACAACAAACAGAATAAACAATTGAAGTGGTACCCTTTGAAGCAGAAGGTAAGTTCAGAGTTTTTTGTTTGTTTATTTGGTTGTTTTGGGGCCTGGTGTATAGGAAAATGCTTAATTGCATTTAATTCAGAGTGCTAGCCGGGGCTCGGTGGCTCACGCCTGTAATCCCAGCACTCTGGGAGGCCGAGGCAGGCGGATTGCTCAAGGTCAGGAGTTTGAAACCAGTCTGAGCAAGAGCAAGACCCCACCTCTACTATAAAAATAGAAAAGAAATTAATTGACCAACTAATATACATAGAAAAAATTAGCCGGGCATGGTGGCGCATGCCTGTAGTCCCAGCTACTCAGGAGGCTGAGGCAGCAGGATTGCTTGAGCCCAGGAGTTTGAGCTAGGCTGATGCCACGGCACTCACTCTAGCCTGCGCAACAAAGCGAGACTCTGTCTCAAAAAAAAAGAAGCAGCAGCAAAACAGAGTGCTGATCTATAGTTTGGGATCATTTTAAACTACAGTTGGACTCATTTAACTTGTACATTCAGTGAAGAAAGGATAAAACTTATAGGGAGAATTTTAAACCATTTAACACAAATGTTTCAGAGCCTTCAGGAAGGTCATTTAAATAATTCAATGATCTGAAATTTGGGACTTTTAGTGAAGTATATGGCCAAATTTTGATGAGCGTTACATGCGTGTCACTTTGTTTTTTTGAGACAGTCTTGCTCTGTCACCTGGGCTAAAGTGCTGTGGTGTCAGCCTAGCTCACAGCAACCTCAGACTCCGGGACTCAAGCGATCCTCTTGCCTCAGTTTTCCAAGTAGCTGGGATTACAGGCACGTGTTACCATGCCTGGCTATTTTTTAGTAGAGACGGAGTCTTGCTCTTGCTCAGGCTGGCATATGTGTCACTTGAAAAGAATGTGTATTCTATGGTTGTAGGGTGTATTTATCAATTAAGTTAAAAAAAAGGTAGCTCAAATCTTTTATATTGTTGCTGATTTTATGTTTGTGTACTATGAATTACTAAGAGAGATACAATTATGGATTTGTATTTTTCTCCTTTGAGTTTTATTATCTTTGATTCAATGTACTTTATTTTGAGGCTGTCTTATTACATATATATACATTGAGAATTGTTATACTTTCCTGATGAATTTACCATTTTTATCATTTTGAAATTTCCTTTTTTATCTCTAGTAATGCTTCTTGCCTTAAAATCTATTCATATAATCTGTTGGTATAGCTGTCAGCTTCCCTTTGGTTAGAAGTTTGTTTCTATCCTTTGATTTATAACATTTCTAAATGTGTGTAGTTAAGGTATGTTTCTTATCAGCAATAGTTTTGATTTTTTTCCCAGCCCAAAGTATTTTTCTTTTAATTGGATTATTTAGTTCATTTGTGCTTAATTTAATTATTGACATATTTGGGTCCAAATCTAATATCTTAATATTTGTCATTATTATTTTTATAATTGCCTTTTTTAGGATTGTTATTCCATTCCATTTTTCCCTTCTATTAATATGTCAGTTACAGATTCTTTTCATTTTTCCTTATTATTTACTGTAGAGACTACAATATGCATCCTTGAATGAAAAAGTATTTAACATAAATTAGGACTTTTACCACTTCCAGGACAATGAAAACAACCAAGAACATTTTAACTCAATTTACCCATTCTCTCATCTTTTGGGAGATATTTAGTCATATTTTAATTATATATATATTTTTAAGTCCCATAGATATTCTTGTTACATACAGTGTATTCATTTAGATTTAACCACATATTTGTCTTTCTGTTGTTCTTTATCCCTTCCTGTATCTCGATATGAAGTTATTTCTTCTGCCCAAAGACTTCCCTTTAGTTTTACTTTTAGTGCATTTCTATTGGCAACAGATCCTTTTAGGTTTTCTTTGTGTCATAACATCTTTTTTTACCTTCATCTTTGAAGAATCTTTTTACTGTATTACTGGGTTGACAATTATTTCTTTTAGCATTTTGAAGATGTTGTTCCATTGTATTCATTTCTGTTGCAAAGTCAGCTATTAATCTTGTTTTGTTCTTTTGAAAGTTATGTGTTTTCTTTCTTTCCCCAGATTATAGCATATTTTTCTTTGTCTTTGATTTTTAACAGTCTTACTATAATGAGCCTCGGTGTAGTTTTGTGTTTATCCTGTTTTGGATTCACTGAACTTCTTGAATCTGTGCCTTGGTATCTTTCATCACTTTGAAAATTTCTCAGAAATTATTTCTTCAAATATTGCTTTTGCCCTACTATTTTCTCCTCTTCTGGAAATTCCAATTACACATATGTTATATCTTTTTACTCTGTCCCACATGTCCTTTATGCTTTCTTTTGTTATATTCTTTTTTGCTTTATGGTTCAGGCTACTTTGTGCTAATTTATCCTTTGGTTCAATAATTTTATCTGCTATGTCAATTCCTCTGTTAAAACCATTTACAGTTTAAACCCATCTACAATATAAAAATTATATTTTTAAAATTTACATTTTCACCTGGGCACAGTGGCTCATGCCTATAATCCCAACACTTTGGGAGTCCGAGGCAGGAAGATCACTTGAGGCCAGGAGTTCGAGGAGACCAGCCTGAGCAACAACACAGGGAGCCCCTGTATCTACAAAGAATAAAAAAAATTAGCCAGGCATGGTGGCATATGCCTGTTAGTCCCAGCTACTTAGGAGGCTAAGGCAGGAGGATTACTTGAGCCTAGGAGTTTGAGGTCACAGTGAGCTATAATAATGCCACTGCATTGTAGCCCAAGCAGCAGAGTAAGACCCTGTCTCAATAAAAAAATAAAAGTAAATAGATTTTCATTTGACTGTTTTGATTCCTTTTCTTTCCTAAAATTCTGTATTTTAACATTACCTTTATAAATATAGCAATCAGAATTTTTTAAAGTATATATTTGAAAATTCAAGTATCTTCAACATTTGTGAGTCTCTCATCTGTTTTTTAAATCTTAATTTGGTCACTTGGTCCTTTGTCTTGGTATGCCTATTGATTTTTATTTTTTATAATATTATTTAACTTAACTACTTTTTCTTTTCTTTCCAGCTTGTTTCATCAAAGGCCCTACTATTGATTTTTTTTATCACATGTGGGACATTGCATATGAAAACATTCTAGGGATAATTCGGGAGGATTTACTTTTGCTTCTGACAGATGGAATTAGGGTCAGAGAACCTTAATTTAGTCTGGGAATGAACTAAATTGAAGCTTAGGTTCAGTTTTCTTGTGGTCTAAGCCACTTTTTATTTGCCTATATTCCTAGGCTGTGGCCCATCAAGGAGTTCCAACTGAAAGCCTAGGGAAGTAGTTCTCAAATTTTAGCATGTATCTGATTCACCCGAAAAACTTGTTAAAATACAGTTTCTGGGCTCAATTCCCAAGGTTTCTGATTCAGTAAGATCTGGTCCCAAGAATATGCATTTTTAACAGGTTGCCAGGCAAGAGACCTCATCTCTACCAAAAATTTTTTTAAAAATTACCTTGGCATGGTGGTGTACATGTATAGCCCCAGCTACTCTGGAGGCAGAGGTGGGATGATTGTTTGAGCTTGAAGTTGCAAGTGAACTATAATGACACCACTGCTTTCGCCTCTGGCCTGTGCAACAGAGCAAGAGCCTGTCTTAAAAAATATATATATATAAAAAAATAAAAATCTGCATGATCAAAATTAAAGCAGCCCAGGGTACCTCTCCTATCTCCAAAAAAGCGATTTTGATTTCTCCACCATTTTTGAGATTAACGGCCTTGACATGTTTTCTGGGTAACCTGCAAGGTTTTTAAGGAGAGACAGCCTCACTTTCCCAGATATAAAAGCAGTAGTCTAGTTCTGATGTAGAGGAAAATTTTAATCCAGGACACTCAGAAGTTATATGTAGTCTCAGAAATGGGACAGATGTAGTCATATAATAGGATCAGTACCAACAAAAAGGATAAAAAATCTGTGTCTCACACCTGCTGACATTCCTTCAATTTGCAGACAGCACCAGTTGTCCTTGAAGCAGAAAACAGAGGTGAAATGAAGCTAGCTCTCCAGTATGTCCCAGAGCCAATCCCTGGTATGTAATGATTTTCTATCTAGATCCATGCCCTTTCCTTATCCCTCTTCTCTCCAAAGATTTATTTGGGTTCCAATTATATTTTCTAAGGTGAAGCCCTAAACAAATTTATTGTTGGTGATTGTATAGACCAAATGAATCAATTCACAGTCGTAAATTAGGGAATTCATATTTTTTATTGTAAAAAACACATAAAATTTACCATCTTAACCATTTTTAAGTATACATCTCAGTAGTGTTAAGTATATTCACATTGTTGGGAAACAGAACTCCAGAATTTTTTTATCTTCCAAATCTGAAACTCTATAACCATTAGCCAACAACTTCCCTTTCCCCTGCCCCCACCCCCTTTCTGTTTCTATGAGAAAATGCTCATGTTTTAAGTACAGTTTACAGTCCTTGTTTTAACTTTCACCCCACTTTCCAAAAAGTTTGTATTTGTACAATGTGAATGACTTTTCCTATATTCAGAATTTGGACCTATTATAGTGTTATGATACGAATGGAACTTGAATGTTCTTCTTCACAGGTGGGAATTAGAATTCAAATGAAGTCCCTAAGAACTTAAAGTTTATTGGTCTTCCACTCTCAGTGTCTCAGTAGGAGATAAAGGTTTTCCTCAAGATTATTGGCCGGGCGCAGTGGCTCATGCCTGTAATCCTAGCACTGTGGGAGGCTGAAGCAGGAGGATCACTCAAGGTCAGGAGTTCAAAACCAGCCTGAGCAAGAGCGAGACCCCATCTCTACTAAAAATAGAAAGAAATTAATTGACCAATTAAAAATATATAGAAAAAATTAGCCAGGCATGGTGGCACATGCCTGTAGTCCCAGCTACTTGAGAGGCTGAGGCAGGAGGATTGCTGGAGCCCAGGAGTTTGAGGTTGTTGTGAGCTAGGCACTCTAGCCCGGGCCACAGAGTGAGACTCTGTCTCAAAAAAAAAAAAAAAAAGATTATTAATTGCACCCTTGTCATTAGGGCCTTTGGTCTTCAGCTCAGTAAAGGAGTAAGAGACCAGCAGGAAATGAATACCAGGCAGCCACTTGCCCCCATTTCCCAAGCAAGTTCCTCAAGTTGTTTTCCTTAAGAATCTGTATGAAGTTATGGCTGAAATCAGGGGTTGCAAATCCAAATACTTTCAGTAACCAGGAAATACAGCTAGTGAGGTGGAAGAAATGATGGTGAGAGCAATGACTGAACTAGAGAAAGGCATTCCAATTTGGTTAAAAACAAAAAAATCGAGGGCAAGCAAATCATAGCTTTTAGGCCACATTGGTGCCAGACCACCATTCCTGAAAGGCACATTCTTTTACATATAATCTGTATCTTGTTATTTATAGTCAACATGCATAGAAATTCTACCACCCACATTTCCCATTTTCCCTCTATCACTTGGTGGTGGGGGCTAAGGGGATTATGTGTCGTGATGGGCTCCATATTGTCTGAGTTTTGGGTCATGTAATTTTTCTTCCCTGGAATGGCTTCCTCTTCTCCTCAACCTATCAAAGTGTTAGATGAAGTCCCATCTCATCCATTAAGCTTTTCCTGTCTATGTTAGCCTTCACCAATCACATCATCTTCCAAAATATTGCAGTAGTAACTTGGCATTTCATTGTAAATTACATTTGCATAGTTTTTATTTGAATTAGTCTCTCCAGCTTAACTGCAAACATTTTCCAAGGGCATAGATTTTTTTTTTTATCCCTTGTATATATAATGACATTCCTAGCATAGGGATGAGCACATAATAGATGCTCATTAAATACTGTTTGGTTGACTAATTGGGCTAACCCATCCAGAAAAATCTGGTATTCCCCGTCCATAATATTAACTATTGTGTGTGTGTGTGTGTGTATGTGTGTGTGTGTGTGTGTGTGTGTATATATATATATATATATATATATATATATATATATATATATAAAAAAAACACACCTGGATAAAATGTGCAACTACTCTTAATAAGAAGAATGGCTATACCTTAGCCAGTATCTATTTTAGTTACTTTACACTCAAATATGTTTAAAATGCCTTCCACCAGCACCAACTGATATTGGTTTTAATGTTTGAAAAGTATATGCATTTTATTGAGATGTTTTGAATATAACTATAAATGGATGATTCACATCCCTGATGTCTGATTTTGCTGAACCAAGCAAAACCCAAAAAGAATGACGTGATACTCTGTACTTGAAATCAACATGAATTATATTTATAGAGCTGAGTTCAGTACAGCCAGACTATGAAATATATATATATATTTAAGAATGTATAGATTTAATCAATTAGGATAATAACATCAAGTACTAGCTAGTATCCTTGTGCCAGAAGATTTTTAGGCAGAATCTTTGGATGTAGTGTTGCCAAGAAAATTGGCAGTAAAAATTTTCTCTCCTTTTTTTATCATAGGCAAAAAACTTCCTACAACTGGAGAAGTGCACATCTGGGTGAAGGAATGCCTTGATCTACCACTGCTAAGGGGAAGCCATCTAAATTCATTTGTTAAATGGTAATAACATTGATAACTCTGCCTTCTTCAGTTCTACTATTAGAACTATTAGTAGTAGAACTACTAGTTCTATAGCCTGGCCTTTGCTGGTTGGTTTCAGTTCTCTGTATCTGTGATGCTGACTTATCATTCATAGTTTAAATGAATTTACTTGGAACAATGGAGACAAGAACTAGAGGAATGTGTATCATGAACTCCCAAGGCTTCACTTCGTTTTACCATCATAAAGCTAAGAAGTCATGTATACAAATGAAAAGTAGAGGCCTCATACTTAATTATATAATGTCTTTGAGGGAGAACATCTGTTGGTGAGGGCAATAATCAGTACAAAAGAATTTATTACATTTCTAATAGTAGGATGTCACACCCCTTGGCTTCTTTATGGAGCAGGGAGAATTCCTCCTCTCCTTTGTCCCATTTGTGGGACCATTTTGTGGCTCATTTGCTAAGGGCCTTTGCATCAGATTGCAGATATTTCAAAATGATTTACTAAATAAACCCCTACTAAGAGCACCTAAGAGCTTAAAGCAGTTTGGGTTTTTCAATAGCAGACTTTTTCTCTGTTACACATATAAACTGACAGGCATCTAGTAAATAATAACTAAACAGATAGTATTATGCTCTCTTAGCTCCCTCTGACTGATTTTATCTATTAATATATAGATTCTACCGGAAGAACGGTTGTAGCTATTTAATTAACATATGTGATGTATATCTAAGTAGCATATATAATGTGATTTATGATTTTCCTTTCACATATTCTTCATATATGTCAACTGGTAAGATTTTTCAGCTCAGGTCAGTCTCCCATTCTGACCCCACTCACAAACCTTCTTGCCTTTACGAGAGGCATAGTAGGTTAAAGTTCATTCAATTATTATCACAAATGAAATGTAAATGATTACGAAAAAAATCATATAATTTCCAAAGTTAAATCTAGCCAATTGGAGAGGTGTCTCTTTTTCAGTTCTGTATAAGACTGATTCCTTAGGCTATCACAGATAATCAGGAAAAGAACATGCTTTCAAATTTTAAAGGAATCCTCAAGCAAGTGCTACCATATTAAGCACTTACTAAATGCAAACGTTGAACTAAGTGTTTTGCATATGTTATTTAATTCTAATTTCAACCTTCTGAAGTCAGCATCACCATTCCCATTTTAAAGATGAGGAAGCCTGTGCCTGAGAGGGGAAGTAGTTTTCCCTAGAATGCACAGCCAAAAAATGACAAAATTAAGATGTAAACCAAGTCTAGCCAACTCTGTGTCCACCATGATGCGCCCTCCACTCCCACACCCCACCAAACCACCAGCACCACTCTCTCTGCACACTCTTTTTTCCTCTAATGCCGATATTTAGTAGCTGTGCTGAAGTGTATTGACAGCATAAATGTTCACTGTCTTACAAAAATGTTCTCACAATAATATCAATACCTTTTTTTGTAGCACTATTCTTCCGGATACAAGTAGGAAAAGTCGCCAGAAGACGAGAGCTGTGGGGAAAACTACCAACCCTATCTTCAACCACACCATGGTATATGATGGTTTCAGGCCTGAAGATCTGATGGAAGCCTGTGTAGAGCTTACTGTCTGGGACCATTACAAATTAACCAACCAGTTTCTGGGAGGTCTTCGGATTGGCTTTGGCACAGGTACCATTTATTACATTTTTAATTTCCCATGAGCCAAATTCTTCTGGAGAAACTAGAGGTTTGTTTATTGCTTTGCTTCTTCCTAATGAAAATAGATATCATATCTCTGTTAAGTATAATGAAATGAACGAGTGAAGGAATATCAGGCTCTGTGTGCCAAAAGCTCTAGATATGAGGAATAACAAGTAAGTTATTGTGGTGGCAGGTATAGAAAAACCTTCACTACTGCCTCTCCACCACCCCCAAAGAACACGAATCATCCTTTAAAGCTAAATGTGCAATTTGAATAATAATAACTAACATTTATGGAATAGTACTCATTGTATTAAATGCTTTATTTGCATTATTTCATTTAATCCTCCCAACAATTCTACAAGGTTGTTACTAATGTTATCCCCAAAGGAACTGATATTCCAAGAAATGAAGTAACAGAGCTACTAAGTGGCAGAGACAAAATTCAAATTGAATCTGTTAGACATTAAAGCCTTAACTACACTTCCTTAGAGATCATCTAATGTCATTCCAACCCAGTATAGGAATCTTCCCAACTCCCCTATTCCCCTGATGAATTGTAGCTTTTACATTATTGTGAAGAGAAATCATTACTCTAGAAATTATGGGAATGATCCCATTAGTGGAGTCTCTCAGATGGTTGAATTAGCTCTTCCATATAATGAGTCATATATCTGCCTTCCTGGTGATGTTAAAACTCTTCCTAGCTTTCTTTCATTGGTGATTATAATCAGGGAATGACCTCTCTCCCTTTTTTCCCCAATGAGCTATTTCTTTATAAATGCAAAACTTTCCTTTTTTTCAGGTAAAAGCTATGGGACTGAAGTGGATTGGATGGACTCTACATCAGAGGAAGTTGCTCTCTGGGAGAAGATGGTAAATTCTCCCAATACTTGGATTGAAGCGACACTGCCTCTCAGAATGCTTTTGATTGCCAAGATTTCCAAATGAGGCCACAGTCCGCTGGCTCCTCCACTGAAAACTACTAAACAAGTGGAACCTGATCTTGAAAATCTGACTACATGGACAAAGATCCTCACTTTATCCATTGCCACTGAGGAATACTACATAGCATGTAAAAGTCAATCTGCATGTGCTTTTTTGAGTACAAGGCCCAAAGGATTTAAATAATGACAAAATATATAACTTACCTGTGACTCCAACATTAAAGAAGATATTTGAGCAACGTAGGAAAATTGCACTGCTGCTACTGCTTCAAAGAAAAAGCTGCCAAAAATTATCGAATGTGAGGGTATTGTTAACAAACAAAATATTCTACTTTGCTACCATGTGTTTCACACCACACTCTTGTGCAGCAATTAAGAGGGGCTGCCACTTGACCATTGAAAATCCTTGCGGGACTTGTAAATATGTACGTTGTGGAAAAAAGTAACAGGCGAGGAGAGGCAGAATATCAGTGATAAAGAATTGGACCATAAGAAACCTATTTACTCTTTAATGTCTAATAAAATATGGAATTCCATGTTAAGGAAATGAGACTAAATTTACTGCATATATTTCTGCCTTGAGAAACTCCTTTTTCCTCAAGTGTTAAAATAGAAGTTTCAAATGCACTTTGGTGCCACCGACTGGCCATAGGTGGTATTCAGTTCTTGGCTTATTTTGTCTTAATTCTATTTTAAAATAGGTCTCAAGCCTTTGTTTTTTAAGAATTATGTTTTTAAAAAAAATCCTGCATATATGATTGTTTTTCTTATAACTTCACTATATGAAAGCAGCATAAGAGTAGTTACAGATAAGTTTTGCGACAAAGTTTTAATTAGAATGTGAGTTATATTGTACTTCCTACCTATGTAAAATTTTCATAAAGTATTTTGTAAAAACCCTTAGAATAAATTATCATATGATTTAAATTATAATGGAAAATTATCCTGACTTATTATTTTAAATAAAATATATTAATAATCCTAAAATCTAAATTCCTTAACAAGGCTAGTGAACTGCCAGGCTAATATTTCTCTGGAGTCTTTACTGAAACTCTAGGCATCATTTCTTCTAAGTGGGCAGCTTTGGCTATTATTAAGAGTAGAATTTTGATTTAAGAAAAATATTTGACAAGCTTTAAAGATAGGTTAACATTTATTCTTAAAAGGTTTTCCTCAGAGACTTTTTGGGTTGATTTTGGTATATGGAGCATTACTGTCCCTTAGGATCCAACCAGGTTGCCTTTCTCAAAACAAGCACTGATTTAATGTAGGTTCAAGGAAGCCTGGGTGATAGGTGAACATGACAACAAGCATCTAATAAATATCATTGAAAACAACCAGAGTGCTTGCCTCTTTCCATAGATACTAGAATCTTTTATCCACTGGCCGGTAAGAGAGACTAACCTAGGGAAATGCTCTATTGTCCTGCTGGATCTTTTATGGGAGTGCTTAGTCTCTATTCCCTCTTCCTGTTCTGACCTTGCAGAAGCACAAGGTGAGCTAGAGGTACACTTCTAAGGTCAGCCAGGAACACAGTAGCAGAAATGCAAACCCTGTTCTAGCTTGTGCCATGTCATAGTGTTAGGGTGGTGACTCCTTTCAATAGCACAAGCTACTTTCTCAGCCCCTCCTTCAGTTACCTATTCAACCCCCTCCAAGCATCCAGCCAGCACTGGAGCACTAATGATATTGGCTCTGGTATCTCCCCATCTAGCATGAGGACTGCCTTCCTTCTCCCATCCCCAGATCTCTCACCTTCAAAACACCAGAGTGGACAATAGAATTACCCACCCTCCTTGCACGTACCCATAGCATTTCCAACTGCCTCAGAAGTCTGAAGGGAAATTCATGTCATGTTTTTTTTTCTGAAAAAAGTATACATCATAAGTTTAATCTAACCTGGCTACAAGAGGAAGGCTAAGTGTGAGTTTCATGCATTATAAAATTTAGGCAACCTGAATTCTTTAGTGAACTTAGGTTGACAAGCTTTTGAGTCAGTGTGACTTTTAGGCAAAGAACCTGCTAAAACTTCAAAGCAGATTTTTCTTAAACTGAAGGCATTTTCTTGACTTTTATTTTTTTTTTAGAACCCAACTGGAAATAAACCAAAAAGGGGAATTTACTGGAAATATACTAGTTTAGTCGACAGAATTAAAGAAGAAGCCTAGATTACTTTAGAGACTTGCAGGCTAGAACCAGGAACTCAGATGCTGTCTCACTTTATCCTCAGGGAGTAGGACATAGTGCTTTAGGCAGCTCCAGTACCACAATCTCTCAGCTAAAGAACTTCTCCTTCCTAGGTTCAGCTTGAGAGATCTCTGGGGGAAACTGGCCAGGCTTACATCACATCCTTACCTACTGGACTACTTGTTGTGGCCAGAAGTGGATGAAGTAATAGCTTATGATTGACCCAGCCTGGGTAATGTGCCCACCCTATAGCTGGGTGGGAGTGGGGGGAGGGGGGGGATGGTCTATTATCAGAAGAATGGGATGTTATAATAATATATAGACACAGACACTAGAGAAATCAAGAGCTGGGTATATGCAATTTGTGTCTAACTCAATTGAAACTATTTCAAAATTCCATTACTTAAACAATGGAGTGATATTCATTTCTAAGGGTCACCGCTGACATGCTCCAGAGAAGCCTAAATGTCCCCATCTACCATGACTGGTGTAGCTTCTAAGTGGTGAGGATCCTGGGAACCCAATGGCTGGCTCACATGGCTTAGAAGCCCACCAAAAACATAATTACTGTTAGGCTAGTCTAACTTCTTCCAGAAAGGCCTACCACCCTCCCCAGCTATGTTTTCCAGGGAACTTGAATGGGCATCTTTGTATTTCCCTGACATCCATACTCACCATCCAATTAAAAAGCCCTGATCATCTGCCTTCTCTAGTACTCTCATTCCCATTTTGCTTTGGGATTGTTCTTCCATCTTCTCTTCTGTCTCAATTCCCTTCCAGGCTTATTCATTAATATTACTAGTTTGTTTTACAAAACAAATACCCCCACATACTTGATCCAATCACAGAACTTTCCCTCTCCTTCTTTGGCTAAACTTGTCCCAAAAGAACTCATTGTCTTTCAGCCTCACAAAAAGAAGACTCACTCTCCCACACCCAGTCTCTCAATTAGGATGTGGGGTCGGACTTCAGATCATTGCTCTTTGTTTTAAATGTCTCTGTTTCTAAAGACATGCCATCCAGTGACATCAGGAAAGGGGTAGAGTGCACTGGTTGTTCTTCAGAACCAGAGGGCTTGGATTTGAATCTTGGTTAAACCACTTAGTAGGTGTGTGTAAACTTGGGCAAGTTACCTAACTTCGTTGTGTCTCTTCTATAAAAATCAAAAATGGTAGCTACCCTAGAAGCAAAAATAAATCAATCAAAACAAAGTGCTCATGCTTGACAAGTAGCATTCAGTAAATGTTTGCTGTTAAGATTATCCTCTCCACTCCTTCTTGTGGTCATCTACCATCTTCCCCAATTCATCTTATTCACTGAAGATTCTGGTATCTGGCTCCACAGCATATGAATGTTCATCAAACATCCTGGCTTCTCAGTTCCTTGACCACCTCGATATGAATGTTTTTAATTTCCCTTCCTTTTCAGCCACACATACCCACAAATCCCATTATAACTGGGAACCTCTGCAGAATTAAATTCAAACTGATTCTGACCAAAATTTTCTATGCTTTCAGCCTTCAGTTCATTATTCTGTAACATCTATTCCTAAAACTCATTGAGGATTCCAGTCCTTCATAACCTTATCAATAAGCTCCCATTATCACTCCTCTGTCTAGTCAACCACTCTCTTGTAGATAGCCTCAACATTTATTGCTTCCTTTTCCTTCCACTGAATACCCTCCCACCAGCACTATTACAGACTCCATCCCTACATAAATCCAACTGAACTACCCTATTTTTATGCCCTTGGTGTGGACTGTGATTGCTGAAAATCACATATTATATATTTCCCTTGTCTGTGATTAAGATGAGAAACAGATGGAGAAATAAAGAGTCCTGGTGGCTTTGCAGCTGCAGTTTTAGTTTTTGAAGTCCCACCTAGTTCCTGCCACTCTTACTTTGATTCTAGGAACCACCTCAGTGTTCTTGCTGTGAGGCAATAAATTTCAACTTACTTAAGCTAGTTGGAATTGAGTTTCTATCAAAATAATCTTGACTAATATTCCCCCTTCCATCCAAGACTGGTTTTGTACCCCTTTTATTGTGCTGTCAGTAACACCCAGTTCTTAACCACTGTATTCTTTGAAAAGAATGATGTCTAATTTGTCTATGATTACTTTAGCAATTATCACACTGATTTTCTGTTATCTATTATTTGTCTATTGCTATCACTTGAAAAGATTGCAACCTTGGAAATAATAGTTTTTCAGTCTATGTGAGATGAATGAATGAATGAGCAAATGAACAGATGAAGTGTGAACTAAGATCATGGGCTGTGGTATCAAAAATATCTGGGTTTGAATCCTGTCTCTATCATTTATTCTCTGGGTGACCAGAAGCAATTGGTTTAGCCTGTCTGAACATTGGTTTCTTTGTTCCTTTAAACTATAAAACATGGATAATAATGCCTACCTTTCAAAAATATTGTTAGGATTAATGAGAGATATAAAAATGCCTAGTGCCATATAGGGTATATAGAAGAACTCTGTAAGTAGTAGCTTTAAAAAAAGAAAAGACATCAAAAGACACAGCAAAGACAAGTGGAGGGGATTCATTGGTTGCCAGCAAGAAAAGTGTTGGCTTAGTTTATGTCTTGGACCTCTGGGAGGGGAATATACTAGATAATTTCAGGACCAAAGTTAGCTGGAAAAAATGGTTGAACAAAGAAAATTACCATGGTAGAGAGGAGCCAAAAGTGATTACTAAACTGTTCTGCAACAGGAACAAATCTGGAGGCATCACTTTACCAGTATTTAAGCTATACTATTATACAAGGTTATAGTAACGAACACTGCATGGTACTTGCACAAAAATAGAGACATGGACCAATGGAACAGAATAGAGAACCCAGATATAAAACCAGCCACATAATACCATCTGATCTTTGACAAAACAGACAAAAACACACACTGGGGAAAGAAATCCTATTCAATAAACGGTGCTGGGAAAATTGGATAGCCACATGCAGAAGAATGAGACAGGACCACTACCACTCACTAGTCACAAAAATTACTTCAAGATGGATAAAAGACTTAAACCTAAGACATTAAACCATAAGAATTCTAGAAGAAAATGTTGGAAAAACTCTTCTACATATTTCTCTAGGCAAATAATTTATGAAGAAGACCTTAATGGCAATCACAGCAACAACAATAATTAGTAAATGGGATTTGATTAAGTTACAAGGCTTCTACACAATTAAAAAAACAATTAACAGAGCAAACAGACAACCTACAGAAGGGGAGAAAATATTTGTAAGCTACACATTCAATAAAGGGCTAATAACTATAATCTACAAAGAACTCAACCAGGCTCACACCTGTAATCCTAGCACTCTGGGAGGCTGAGGCGGGTGGATCGCTTGAGATCAGGAGTTCGAAATCAGCCTGAGCAAGAGTGAGACCCCGTCTCTACTATAAATAGAAAGAAATTAATTAGCCAACTAATATATATAGAAAATATTAGCCAGGCATGGTGGCGCATGCCTGTAGTCCCAGCTACTTGGGAGGCTGAGGCAGCAGGATTGCTTGAGCCCAGGAGTTTGAGGTTGCTGTGAGCTAGGCTGATGCCATGGCACTCACTCTAGCCTGGGCAACAAAGCGAGACTCTGTCTCAAAAAAAAAAAAAACTCAACCAAATCAGCAAGAAAAAAAATCAAACAATCCCACTAAAATTGGGCAAAATACATGAACGAAAGTTTTCAAAGGAAGATAGACGGCTAGTGGTCAATTAACATATGAAAACATGCTCAATGTCAATAATCATCAGGGAAATGCAAATCAAAACCACAATGAGATATTACCCAACTCCAATGAGAATGGCTTTTATCAAAAAAAATCTCAAAACAATAGATGCTGGTGTGGTGGGACTGCAAACTAGTACAACCTCTATGAAAAATAGTATGAAGATTCCTCAAAGAACTATAAGTAACCCCAACCACTTAATCTAGCAATCCCACTACTGACTCAAAGGAAAAAAGTCATTTTATCAAAGAGACACTTGCTCTGGAATGTGTATTGACACTTGCTCTGTGAATTGTGTATTGCAGCACATTCACAATCGCAAAGGTGTGGAATCAATCCAAGTGCCCATCAATTCACGAGTGGATTAATAAAATGTGGGATATATGTATATACACCATGGAGTACTACTCAGCCACAAAAAAGGAATTAATATCTTTTGTAATAATCTGGATGGAAGTGGAGACCATCTCCTAAGTGATGTATTGCAAGAATAGAAAAACAAATACCACATGTACTCACTATTACATTGGAACTAACTGATCAGCACTCATGTGCACAGATGGAAGTAAAACTCAACATAAGTAAAACAGAAGGGAGAGGGGAGAGGGGATGGGTGAAATCATACCTAAGAGGTACAATGTACACTATCTGGGTTATGGACATACTTATAACTTTGACTCAAGCAGTACAAAAGCAATCCATGTAACCAAAACGTTTGTAACCTCCAAATTTTCTGAAATAAAAAATAAATACAGTTCTTTGAGGAGAATGATGATATCTATCTTATTAATGTATACTTAGCATCTAGCACTATACCTTGCAAATGTCTATTGAATAATGAATGAATATTGATTAGGATCTTGGGAGATTCTTAGCCTTGATAAGAAATATATGGATGTAATGTTATTTAAAATAATATACATATAAATTTAAATATTAAAATATCTTTTAATATAAAAGAAATATAAACTTTTAAAAAATGTGGAAAATCAATTCATTTAGTCAACAAATATCATTGAGTATCCACTGTGTTCAAGAAACTAAGATAGAAGGGGAAGCATATATAATCTCATCCTTAAGAAACAACTATTAATATTTTGAGTATTTTTCCTGTCTTCTTTTCCTTTTCTTAGGAAATGTATTTTGTGAATTCACCTTACTACATCAGACAACCATATAAGGTAATCAACAAATAAAATTTTCAATATATGTATGATCATTTTATTTAAATGAAGAGGACCTTTCAAATTTTCTTGTCACTTGTGTTGACTTTACAAGTCCCATTTACGCATATGAAGCTTGAAATTTAGGGAAAAGTGAAGAAGAGAAATGTGAAAAAATTACAAAGAAGTTTAATTCACATTTTTTAAGCCTTTGGAACCCTTTTCACAAAACGTCAACATCCTATCATTTTATATAATTGTTAAAATTTCAGTTTAGGACATTTCCCCAGTCTTCAACCTTGCTTTCCTTATAGAAACAAGAGATTCAGGATTTAGGACATGAGACCCTGATCTTGACAGTGAAGGTAAAATGTGAAACTCTTCTTTCAGATTTTTTTTGCTCCCAAGGGAATCTGAAGCATTTAAAAATCCAATATTTATAATGACACCCAGGGTTTTTCCTGATCATCATGATGGGAGATATTAAGTTTGACCACTAGGAAACAGTGATCACAGGAATAGTCAACTCTTTCCCTTAATTTTCACAGCATTCAAATAATCTGAATTTTAAGTTTTGTATCTTGCTGCTTTCAGTTATCTTTCTAACAAGCATTTTCCATGCCATTAAAAATTACCTATAAAAGTGATAATATTTAATGGCTACATAATGGTTGTATGAATATATCATAATTTTCTTAACATTTTTGTTTTTTGGATATTTATTTTAGTTTTCCAACTTTTATTTATTATAAAACACTACAATGAAAAGCTTTGAGCAAAATGTTTTATTTTAGATTATTTCTCCAGCACAGGTCTCCCCAGAAGGGCAATTACTAGTTCAAAAGGCATAAAAAATCTTTTAATTTCTCAATACATACTGTCAACTGACTTTTACCAACAGCATAAGAGAGTGCCTATTTCACTACACCCTTACCAGTCCTGGGTAATCTTAAGAGGAAAATGTTTTGACTAATTTGATAGATAAAATGTTTTCTAATTTTAACATATTTTTTGGATCACTATTAAGTTCAATTCTTGGCATTCTGGTTCTTTTTTCTATGAATTTAATTGCTTATTTCTCTTTTAAGATGTTAATGTTTTATTGATATATGTAAACTCTATAAAAATATAAACCTAGTGTCTCTCATATTTATTATGGATATTTTTCTCAATTTTATTTTTGCCTTCAACATCCACTCAACACACATTTATCTGAGTCTCCTTAATGTGTCAGGCACTGGTCTAATCACCAAGGATGAAACAGACACATTCTCTGCCCTGCAGGATCTCACAGTCTAATAGGGGAGACAGGCAGGTAAACAATGATTGCAATAAAGCTTTCACATGGTTCACTAAAAGTACAAATAGGCTACAGTGGATGCACTTATAGAAGTGAGTGGTCAATTCTACATGTTGTAGCCAAGAAAAGGCTTCGCAGAGGACATAATTTCTAACTAAGCATAAAAAGCTGACAATATTACTAGAGTGAAAAGAAACAAGGTGGGAAAAGCATTCCAGGCAGAGGAACATCTACAAACAGGGCCTGAGAGTGGGTTGGTTAGGGAAACTTCAGTCGCTGAGTAAAGTGTCAGGGAAGTCCAGAGGAAGAAGAGGCTGGAGAGATCTCAGAAGTCACATTATTTTTAAAATTATACATAACTTTAGATTTTCAATGAAATCTGATTAAGCTTTTCCTTTCTGATCTCTTACCTAATGTTTAAGCTAAGAAAGTCTTTCCTGGCCCAAAGATTTGTTACTTAATTTTCTTTTAGTTTCTGTTCTTAATACTTTAATTTTATTTCATTTTACATTTAATTGTTTAATCCACTAGGAGTTGACTTTGGTGTATGATGATAAGCCTCGCTTGAATTTTTTGCTTGTTGTAATGTTTATCACATATACATGGTTCGCTTTAGCTGCTTTCTGTAACCTTATTTTGCTAATGGGTAAAAACAGAGAGTGCTGAATATTTAAGAAAGAGTACTATTCCCAGGTGGTGACAAGGCTAGGGAAAACAAAAGAAATTTCATTGGGGTTTGCTGTTTTAATACTTAACTATCAAAACTGAGTTGTGCCAAACACTACAGGTGCAGACTTGTAGCCATTTAGGGTTCTGGTTTTCAGAGTATCACTGCTACTTTGTATTTACAGACTGCAAATTTTTGAGGAGCCAGCTGTATTTCCACAGACACCAACTTATTCTCATGACAACTCAGGAGGAATGAGGGAGAAGGAATATGTCACTGCCGGCTGGTTTACTCCTACCAGAAATCAGGTGGAGTCAGGTTTCCTCCCCTGGTGCTGGCTGGAAATTGACTGGGGTTAGGATCTCTGTGCTATACAGGCTAGACATTGGGCTGTTAGCTGAAAATTGTGATTGATTAATAAGGCAAGAGTTACCTGATCAGAGTCACTCTGGACTCTCCCAGATTCCCCTGTTGTTACTTCACAGGATTCTGAAGACCTGTCCACCAATTACAGGGCTCCTTACTGGAAAAACCAACTACTGGAGAGCGCCAAGAGTCCCTAGCAACGCCCGGGGGCGGCTTTTGAAAGCTGAGGGGGAAGGACTGTGGTCGGCAGGGCTGTTAGTGGAGGAGAGCTCGCATGCCTCAGGAAGAGCAGGCTCTCAGAATGGACACCCCACCCCCGGAAGAACCCTTAGATAAGCAAAATGAAAAACTGAACGAGGAAGAAAACATAGAGTTTAAGGAACTGGATGGTCTGAGGGAAGCCCTGGCAAACCTCCGGGGACTGTCGGAGGAGGAGAAGAGCGAGAAGGCGATGCTTCGCTCCCGCATCCAAGAGCAGTCCCAGCTGATCTGCATCCTGAAGCGGAGGTCAGATGAGGCCCTGGAGCGCTGCCAGATCCTGGAGCTGCTCAACACAGAGCTGGAAGAGAAGAGGTTGCAGGAGGCAGAGAAGCTCAAGGCCCAGAGCGAGCATGCCCGGAAGCTCGAGGAGCGCTTTATGACCCTGGCAGCCAACCACGAGTTGATGATTCGCTTCAAGGATGAACACAAAAGTCAGAACATCCAGCTGAGGGAGGAGAATGAGAAGCTGAGGCTGGAGAACAGGAGCCTCTTCAACCAGGCTCTGAAGGATGAGGAGGCCAAAGTATTGCAGCTCACTGCCCGGAGCGAGGCCCTCTCCAAGGAGCTAGAGACTCTGAGGCATAGGTGTGCTCAGGATGCCTGCCAGGCACAGGCCCGTGAGAAGGAGCTGCTGGAGCTACAGAGCCAGCAGGCCTGCACCCATGCAGAGGAGAGAGAGCAGCTGCGCAGCCAGCTGCAGAGCCTCAAGCAGCAGCACCAGCAAGCCAAGGAGCAGATGGTGAAGGCAGAGGAGATGCACAACAGCCTAAGCCAGGAGCTGCAGTCCAGGCTGCAGACCGTCTCCCGGGAGAAAGAGGAGCTGCTGCAGTTGTCCATGGAAAGGGGCAAGGTGCTTCAGAACAAACAAGCAGAGATCCGCCAGCTTGAGGAGAAGTTGGAATCAACAGATATGGCCAGGAGGCATGCACTAGAGAGGTTTGAGCAAGAGGCAGTGGCCGTTGACAGCAACTTGAGAGTCCGGGAGCTTCAGCGCAGAGTGGATGGGATCCAGCAGGCCTATGATGAACTCAGACTGCAGTCAGAAGCCTTCAAAAAGCACAGCCTGGATCTTTTAAGCAAGGAGCGAGAACTCAATGCCAAACTCCGCCATCTCTTCCCATAAGGAAGCTTTTGCTGCTTCTGGCCTCCAATTTAGAATTCAAATATTTGTGCCTTAGCATTATGACAAGAGTAAAGATGATATCCCATTTATTATTTTAAGCACAAAAAGCAACTCAAGAAAAGCTACTTTACTATGATATTGTTGTTACTATTGTAAAACTAACATTAATTTTCAGTTCTACAACCTAGAATACAGAAAATGTACCAGATTTCCTTCTGTGCCTTTGAAATCTTCCTCTATTTACTAGCAATGTCTCCCCCTACCCCATACTTTATTTATTCTCAACCACAGGTGTCTTCATGTATCTTAAGATTTCAAATTAGCAGCTTGTATGATTTAAGCGAATTTGAAATGTGCCGCTGTGAAAAATAATTAACACAATTAACCATTGTAGTTAGGTAGGTGTATAGTATAGTCTCCTATACTTGAGACTGTAAACAAGTGAATATCAGCATTATAATAGCATGGATACTTTGAAAGAAAAAAGTGTCAGATTTTATTTTATTTTACACTAGCTTGGAAAATGAAAATTGAGATAAGTTCTTTACCAAAGTGGCCAACTTTATTAAACTCATTCTATATGAGAGAGAAGATTCAAATAAGTTAAATCAACATTATTTTTATTTTTCCTGCAAGCTTAGGTCACATTCCATTTTCTTGGTTTTCTTCTTAATAAAGACAGGATTTATATGTATAATAATGCAAATATCAATCGCTTCATTTATTATTGCACAATATGCTATAGGAAAAAAGCCCCACTTTAAGATAACAAGTCATAGCAGAGTGGGTATGATCTAGATAGTAACTCACAGCAATTGTTTTCTGTTTATATTAGCATTTTTTTTGTAATTAACTTTTTCCTTTTTTAAAAATTAAGCTGAATGTGTATGTATATACTTACAGCATTTTGGCAGTAATACCCAAATTTTGTAGGAATAGTTATAAAAACAAATATATAATTATGTGAAGTTCTCAATAACTTAAAGTTCTTAAAAGTAGTCATAAAAATATATTTTATATTCCTTATTTCCTTGTATTTAGTTGATACATAAACATGAATATATCTCAAAATAGATTGTAATTCATATTTTTCTCACTCATTTGGAGTACCAAAAATTACATAACCAATTGGATTTACTAAAAAATACTACCTGGTGACTTTTTAAGAAACCATTTTCAACCAAGTGTTACTTTACCTCAAGTAATTTTTAAAACCCATTTTCTCACATTTCTATTAATATTATATTATTAAAAACACATTTTTCTCATCAAAACAAAAACCAGCTTGCTGGCTTCAAAGGACTATTTACTTCCTCTTACAGGTTACCAAGAATCAGACCATAGGAGCTAATTTCATCATGATTACCCTTTATTGAATTCATACTGTTTATCATTGTACTGAAGCAATTTGGATGAATTGATTTATTTAATCCTTGGGATTATTCAAGAACATAATTATGTTTATTTCTATTTCAAAAAGAGGAAATGTGTTTCAGTAATTTGCATAAAGTCACTTGGTCACTAGGGGAACTGGGATTTTGATGACTACAACACCACACCGAAAGATAATGGACTACGGCCAGGTTCTGGGATAGGCATTGAGAATAAGCGTAAAGAAAGAAGCATGTTTCCTGCCCTGGAAGAGCCCTCCCCCGCCCCTAGTCTAGTCTAGGGGGGAAAAAAGAGAACATACAAGGTAATGTGTTTTCACAGGCAGTGTTATGAGGTCATCGGGGTGAGGAAGGCGGGACGTGCAGCATCTAACCCTGTCTGGGGGTACAGATTGGGATGGTTGGGAGGACTCCCAAGGATGAGTCATATAGGAGTTAGTTGACCCATAAGCTGGTTCTTAAAGAATTAGTAGAATTTCTTCAAGTGGAGAAAGAGGAGAAGGGTTTGAGACAGCATCGTGAAGAAGGCATAGAAGTATTTTATCTTTTTAATTTTTTAATTTTTTAATTTTTTTTTATTTTAGCGTATTATGGGGGTACAAGTGTTAAGGTTACATATATTGCCCATGCCCCCGGCATAGAAGTATTTTAAAATGCCCAGAATACTTGGGGAAATCATAGCAGCTAAGAGGAAGTGCGGAGAAACGTCTCTAGGCAAAAAACTGGAAGAGTAGGTTGAGGCCAGAATGCAAGGACCCTGAACGTTTCCCAGCCCCCCCCCCCCGTCTCCAGCCAGGTTCAGGCCGCTTTGCTAAGAACGTGGTGCGCATGCGTGCTGTCACCGCCCCGCCTCCCTCTCGAGCAACCAGCACGCCCAAGCTCCGCCTACTCACACTCGGCTGCAGAGGGTGTGTGGGGGTTCTTGGCGCCAGTTTTGTGCCCAGCCTGCCGGGAGGAGGTCTCTGAGCTGCAAGCGGGATTTGGGAAGCGGGCAGAGGGCCATTTGGGTAGGCATCCCGGCGTCCCGATTATTGGAGTGTCGACCCTCTTAGGTTCCACGGACTCCTTGTTAGATGGGGTAGGGGACGACTGGAGGATCGCGGGATGGGTAGGGTAGAGGCACGTGTCCCCTAAAACTTAGGCACAAAGGAAGAGACTCAGTTGCCAGGGTCTAAGGACAGTGCTGTTCCAAGCCATCCTAACGAGTTTGCACCATCTTGATCCATATAAAATTGCCGTTTAGTAGATCCTCAGTGTCGGATATGGGCCGCCTATACAGTTCACTCTAATACATTTTTGAACGATTTTGAAAGAAAGTTGGGAAATGAAAATAGAAGGCCAAATCTGGGTGCCTGGAAAGCAACTGAGGAGCCCACGACATAGGCTAAGAAAGAGGAATGTGCACCTACCATGTGTCGAGTGCTTTTCACTTCACCCTCATACCAAATTTTCAAGGGAGGTTCAGTAATCACTATTTAACTGATGAAAAAAGTGAGACTCAGGGTGACTTGTCCAAAGTCAGGAACCCAACGAAGCCCCTCGGGGAAGGGCTGGTTTCATGGGTGTGCTACCTACACAGGACCCCCCACACTTGGTTAAATGCTCACTGTTGCTGGGCTGAAATTTTTAATAATTTTTTCACACGGAGCTTCACGTTTTCATTTTTGTGTTTGGGTCCTACTTAAACCCAAGTAGGGCAGGTCCTTCGTTCTGGCTCTAAAACCCGTACTTTCTCCCACTATACAAACTACCTTCAAAACATCCGCAAAAAGGCATTTTTCCCTGCCTCTGTGACTCATGGCACTTTGTATTCTACTCTCTCTGTGGTCATCTTGTATTTAATCTGTAACCCAGAGCTACATTAGGGGATAAACATCCAGTTTAGCTATTGTGGTGTGCTGCTTTGTGAAATGATGCTTATCACTAGAACAAATTGACAAAATGTAAATTCACCCCCTCCAAACTACTGCCTTTGAGGGGAAATTTTTTTTTTTTTCTTAAAGGTAAAACATAGGAGAGAGAGGGGAAATTTTAAAAAGGAAACAATAAAGCTCCTTCCTAAAGCAGACCTATATCCCTGGCGAATTTTTCTGCAACATCCACAAACAGTAGCCCTAAAATGAAAGTCAGCAGAGCAGAGATTCTAAAACCAAATAATGCGTTAGTAGTGCTATGTAGCTGGTAAGTGTGATCTTTTGTGTTACCTAAATTGTATGCCCTTCAGTGTGCCTCTGAGGAACTTGTCTGGTTCCAAAAAAGTAGAGAGCTTAGAAAGAGAAGAGCTACGGAAAAGTGAACTTTGAACTGGTATTTTCAGAATACTGGCTCTTGTTTCAGTTAGTGAGAATGAGTTCAAGTTAATATGTTTCTAGCAAACAAAGTATTGACAGAAAATCTATGTCTCCCCAACTGTACTATTATTAAACAGTTACTGAAAGAACATTGTTTGAAATTGCACTGCTGTCCTACTCAGCCCTTGTTGACCCAGATACCTGTCCATGGATCCGGGCAGGGATGATTCTGCTCCCCACTGTGGCAAGACCAAAAGAACTGGGCAGACTTTTGAGATACCACCTCTTGGCACACAAATAAAGGAAAGAGGACTGTGACTCTAACTGCTCTCCCAAAAGCCTACCTTGCCCTTCCAGACTGCTTGTCTTTCAGTGTCATTGGCCAAAATTGGTCCTATGCAAATACCTCAGCCAAGAATCTTCATAAGGTGTCTTGCCACCATGATTGATTTAGACCAATCAGGATCCACCCTTGAGATGGGAATGAGGCCAGTCTGTGCCAGGTAGTGGGAGAGGCTACCTGACAAAGGCAGGGCTCTGCCACCAAGGTTGAAGGGGGTGGATGTTGGGTGGACCCTCAACAGTGTCTGCTGTGCTACATCTAGATTGCCAGAGCCTTATCAGTCAGGGAGTCTTTTTATCTTTAATCAACTCTTGGCCTGTTAAAAAAAAGTTGTTGGAATTTGGGCAAGTGGCCAAGAATAGGCTTTTCTGATCATTGTCTATCTTCCTAAGGAGAAACTGGATGATATTTTCCAAACTCTAGGAACATGCTTTTAAACATGAGGGCCTGGGGTTGTACAGACAATCTCCCTATTTGATGCTATTCTTTCCCAAACCTACTGTTTATTACACTTGGAAAAATTAGTCCCAGAAAAACTTTCTTGGACAGATCTTCCTGGTCATTCATTACACATTCAACTGATCACAGTGCCTTCACAGCCCTCTCACTTCTCAGTCCCACAGAGGGAAGCCAGCCTTAGCTACTTGCCAGACAGGCCCTATTTAATGCTCTAATCCACTCTTATTTGTACCAGTCTAAAATAGTCTGCTCTTTCATGGTTAAGGTTATTTATTACACCATTGTAATAGCAAAAATTGGAAATAGCTTACATACCATCAACAAGGAACAGGTGAAACTATGGGTGGCCCAATACAACTGTAGAAAAAAGAAAAAGGAATCTTTTTATGTAGTAATGTAGAAATATTTCCAGGATATATGTTTACTAATATCTGTAGTATACTATGTTTTGTGTAAGGGCAAGAGGATGAGTGGGAAATAAGAATATGAATATATTTACTTCCATCTGCATAAGTAAATACAAAAATACTAATAAAAGTGGTTATTAGTGGTGTGGAGGGATATAGGGAATGAGTTGGTCAGGGATAGGAGTGGGAAGGAAACTTCTCAATGTATACCATTTTATATCATTTAACTTTTGAACCATGTGACTATATTACCTATTCAAAACATAGTAAAATTTAAAACAAAAATAAGACTCTTCCACATACCTGTTTAACTTCAG